AGTGTGGGAGGGAGTGGGGCATTGCACAGCATCCCAGACATCTTCTCGGTGCCATCCATGTTGCACGTAGGTCCCCAGATGGTCTCTCCCCCCAGACCCCTGGGGGCATGGTGAGGAACTGGGTGCCCATCACCCCCATTTCCCAGAGAGTGGTCATAGGTGGGTGCCACAGCCCCCCATCCGGCTTTGGGGTGCCCCAAACCATTCCCTCAGTGCTTGGAGCCCTCACCCTGGTAAGCATTGCTTTGGTGGCTGCAGCACCCATGGGGAGTGACACACTGAACCCGGGAGGCTGGCAGCCACCCCCTGCCCACCCCGCCTGGCCAGCCCCTGCTGCCTCCCTTCCTACAGAAGCCATCTCCTCACCTGCCTCACCAGAGCTGGTCACGCTCGACTCGAGTTGCACCCTGGCCCCGTTTCTTGCCGAGCTGTCACCCTATGGGTGCAATCGCCCTGACACCAGGCTCCGTCTCGCGGGTGGCCCCGAGGACAGGCTGGCGGCTGCCTGTGCCACGCTGTCACTTCCCATCGTGGTCCCTGTGCTGAGCTGCCAACCCTGCACGGGGGCTGCTCGCTGCCCTCTCGACTTGCGGCCATGCCATAAGGGCCACTCGGCCCTTTGCCAGCAAAACGAATGTGGGAACCTCCGTGCTGGGCGGCAGCAGGTCCTGAGCTGCCAGCAGGGATCTGCCACATCACACACCTACTGCCCCAGACAGCCCCCAGCACCCACTAGCCTGCCCTGTCCCCTGGGCTTGCAAGGGCATCCCTTGGGAGAGCGGCTGCGCCCCGGTCTCCCCAGGCTGGGCATTTTCAGGACCTGCTGGCTACTCGGCATCTGCCCGCCTGTCACATCTGCTGAGCAGGTCCTGGAGTGTGACCTGCACCGGCCTGGCTGCCCTGTCCATCCAGCCAAGCAAGCGGGTTTGCAGCTGCAGCACAAGGCGTGTCCGTGTGGGTGAGGATGCACCATCTCACCATCTCTCAAGAATTAGCCCAGCACATGTGGCAGAGGTGAACATCTTCTGTGTTTAATATCCTTCAAATTATTTCTCCCTGGTTGCTTTCTGAGCTTCTCTGAGGAATCAGCTCCTGTTGTTCTCTCAGAGTGGGCCGTGCTGGGTTCCCCTGACACCACCACACCAGTTCCCCAGTCCCACTGCCAGACTGGGACTGGGGGCGTCCTGAGAAATCCCCTTTATTGGAGACCTTTTGCTGCCTGACTCGTCCTGCCTCTACCTGCTTCCCCCGTGAGGCGATGGCCCTTCTGGCAGAGTGATACAGCATTTTGCAAATGCCTGGAAAGGTCTTTCTCACTTCAAAACTGCCCTGTACTGGCACAGTCAGAGCTGTCCTCCACCCACGTCCGCATGCTCCCCACCAGCCTCCCCTGTCCCTTGCTATTTCTCTGGCTTGGTGAGTCCCCACTCCCAGTGTGTCACAAAGGCTGGGACCAGGAGAGCCCTGGCCCCAGCAGGTTTGGGGACTGGCCTCTGCAGCCGTATCTGGCCCCACCAGGGTCAGTGTCCCCAGGGCACATATGGGGGGAGCCCACTTTGAGTGGCCCCTTCCTGCTCTGAGCCGCGTCAAGGGGCACAGGGGGCTGGTGCTCAGGAAATTCGATATCCTGAGCCAGGTGGGTATTGAATCTCACAAGCGAGCAGGGCTTTGGGCCAGGCAGGTGACTGATGAAACCAGCCAGCCCAAAACTTTTGGGTTAATTTTCAGTTTTCCTGCTATGCAGCTCTGGGGCTGGGCTCTGCCAGCTCACCCCACCGTGGGGATGTGCTGGTTGGAGGGAGGCACCAGTGACAATGTGCAGGAGAGCCAGGGACAGAGCAGGGCTCTGGGTGACCCTGCAAGCAGAACCAGCAGGATGGCAGCAAGGAGGCACCCAGCTCTGCTGCAGCCATGGCAGGATGAGTGACCTTCAAGGACAAGGGTGCTGGGTGGCCCACAGGCGCTGCCCGTCTGCATCGTCCTCCAGCCCTGCGGTCCCAGCTCTCTGCATGGCCCCAGTGCACTGGTCCTCAGGGACACCTGGTGAGATGTCCCCCCAGCCCCACAGTCTGTATAGGACAGATATGAGCTGCCACATTCCCCCAGACTGAGCTCTGTCCTGCTCTGGGGCTGGCCAAGTGCCCAGCATCACCACAGACCCCAGTGTGACCCATGGGCACGTCGTTCGTCTTGCCTCAGTTTCCCCCTTTGGCTGGGGCACGGCAGAACCGAGTCTGACACAGGTGACCATGGTGGCTGGGGGCACGCTACATATGGTGACAGGGAGATGCCCAAACCAAGCCATCAGCCCCAGCTGGTGCTGCCCACCCCCATGCAGAGCCAGGACGTGCCACAGCACTGCATGTGCCGGCGGTCAGTGACTGCCTACAGCTACAGCTACAGTCCCCGGCACGGCGCGGCGCGGCGCGGGCCACTGCCCACCGCTGTCAGCACAGACCGGGGCAGGAGCATGCTGCTGGTGGGGAAACTGAGTCACGGGCATGCACTGAACATCTTGGTTCCGCTCCCCACTGGGCATGGGGGAGGACCCAGCACCGAGCAGGCAGAAACCTCGGCAGAGGGGCAGGATTGCCCCTGCGCTGGCCCAGCCCGCCTGCTCCTGGCCCTGATGGCGACCACAGAGGCGTCGCTGGGCCACACGCCCCAGGCACGGGAGCAGAAGCTGCCCCTGCCTGGAGACAGGCGCCAGGCTGGCCTTTTTCTTGCAGGATCGTGGAAACACGCCCCCGACTCGTGTCGTCCCTCTGGCCGTGCACATGTCCCCAGGCAGGACAGGGGCCCCCCCGGCAGCTCAGCTGGGGACAAGCCCAGACCTTCACAGCCATGGCGGGGGGCCCAACACCACCGTCCTCGGCACAGGGACAGGGGACAGTCCCGTTCCTCCCCACAGAGCCCTGCTGACCACACAAGGCTGCAGCCAGGGCTGTGCCAAGGGGGTCCACTCCAGCCGAGGGGCTGCCCCCCCCCGCCCCGCAGGCAACAGGCGTGAGGTCGGGCGGCCGCCCCCCACTCCTGCCCAAGGCTCCCTCCTCCCCTGTGGGATTTTCCCCTTGTTCTCTCCCCCAGGCTGCCCCTGGCCAGAGGAGGAGGAGGAGGAGGAGAAGGAAGAAGAGGAGGAGGTGTCCAGAGCCCCAGTGACCTCAGCACATGCCATGGTACTGCTGTCTCGGTGTGGAGAAATGCCCGTGGTCCAGTTGGATCCCTCAGCACTTTCCAGACTAAATTAGCAGCCGCGTGGGGGAAGCAGATGGTCCCACCACCCCTTGCCATGAAGCTTGAGGGACACGGTCCAGCCTGCTTGTCCCCTGCCCTCGATCATCTAAGGCCCTGGGGCCTCCCCAAAGTGCAAAGCTCTGGACGGGTGACCTGGATCTATGCAGGTGCCACCCAGGGCCACAGCTGCACAGACAGAGGGTGGCACCGCAGGGGATGCGCTTGGGGACAGCATCTCTGTGCCCACCTGGCACCAGCACCCTCCATGCTGTGACTCTGTGTGCTCCCATAGGATTTAGGCCCCTGCATCATTAGGGTGACTGCGCCCTTGGGGGATGCTGAGCCCTGACACCCCCTGGGCAGCGAGCTGGCCTGACTCATGTTCCCGTGTGCACCAGTGACCACGTCACGAGCCTTGCCAATGCTCAGCTCCAGCATGGGGCTGGCTGGCACAGGGCCGGCAGCAGGCAGGAAGCAGATGGAGCGGCACAGTGGGGGCCATGGGGGCTGCGGGGGCAGGAAGCTGGGGGCAGCGGGAGCAGCCGAACCAGCAGCCCGAGCATTGCATCCTGCAGGGAGGAAAATGGAAGGGCTGGGGGGGACGGTGGGGCCTGGCTGAGGACCTCGGTGGGCTGCTCAGACGCGTCTGTGCAGCAAAGACAAGCTGACCCTGCTCCCCAGCTCCCCCCGCCCAGCTGTTGCACACTGCTCATCTGTGCAATGAGTTCCCGGGGCTCAGCCCGGCCCCAGGCAGAGTGCGTGCTGCTGGTCCCAGTGGGCTCAGCTGTGCCTACAGCATCCCTGGGAGCAGAGGGGGCATTTCGGGGCGCAGTGCATCAGCCCAGGCTGTATTCCTGCAACACCAGTGTGCTGCAGCCCCCGTGCTCACCCCAGCGCTCCTCTGCCCGGTGCAGACACTGGAGACCGCGAAGGGATGCTCCCAGTGCTGCCGCGGTGGGAGGGAAGCGGCTTGGCCATGGAGGATTTTGAAATCAAGCAAACTGTGGTATGCACCTGCGGTGCAGAGACACGCGGAGGCTGGATAACCTCAGCTCCAGGCTCAAAGCCACGTGAGCTTCTGGCAGGTCCCCAGTGCCAAAGCCCCTTGCTGGGGCACCCGTGGGTGCTGGGACCCTCGTCTGCACCCATGGTGCCTTCAGGGCTGTGGGCAGCGGCTGTGGCTCAAAGAGGTGGGAGATCGGGAAACTGAGACAGAGCTCCAGCCTTGGGGCCGGTGTGTGATGCTGCCGTTGCCCGGCGCGGCACGTTGCCCGGCGCGTCACTGAGTGCCCCCCAAGGGCTCTGGCCACCGCAGGCAGAGGCAGCCCCGGCACCTCTGGAAAAACAAGAGCTCTCCACAAAAGAGCTTATCAGGGGATTTTGCTGCCCAGTTGGCCACCGCCAGGCAGAGCCGCAGGGATGTGCCAAGGTCAGGCCGGATGTGGCGACAGTGGGGACAGGCCCTGGGGGGCTGCCGGCACTGGGGGGGCTGCTGGAGGGAGAATAGGACTCCCCACAGGAGGGGGGGGGGGGGGCTCGTGGCACAGGATGTGGGGCTGAGCCCCCCGGCGCATTGCTGGGAGATGCCGGTGCCTCATCTGAGGGGCACGGGGGGTTCCCGTGGGTGCCCACCGTGGGTGCAGGGAGACCCCCACGAGGGATGGCACCGGGAGAGGGGCACGGGGCGCTGGGGGTCCCCTGGACCCTGCCCGGGGGGTCCCGCAGTGGGCGGGGGATGCTGCGGGGGGCTGGGATGGGGTCCAGGGCCGAGCGGAGCCCGACTGGGGACCGGGACCCGGTGATGGGACCGGGGCCGGGGGTGGGGGCGGCGCCGGTGGGTGTCTCCCGGCCCCAGCCCCGGCCGGTAACTCCGCCTGCCGTATTTATGGGAAAACAAGCGGCGGCAGAGCCGGGCGGCCGCGGCGGAGCGTCGGGCCGTGCCGTGCCGTGCCGTGCCGTGCCGTGCCGTGCCGTGCCGTGCCGTGCCGGATCGGGCGGAGCCGGGCCATGGCCACGGCCACGGCCACCGCGGCGGCAGCAGCCCGAGCCTAGCGCGGCGGCGGGGATGCGGCGGGGGGGCCGCGGGGGCGGCGGGCGCGGAGCAGGTAAGGGGGACCCGGGCAGGGGGCTGGGGCCTGTCGTACTCCCCAGGGACCCCGACCGGCCCATGCCCCCGCGACTCCCCCCCGCATCATATCCCATCCCCCCCCATGCCCTCCCCCGAGCTCCCATCTCATCCCCCCGTGTTCCACATCCCCATCCCCCCCATGCTCCCCCATTCGCCCCCATCCCCCCATGCCCCACATCCCCCGCCCCATCCCATCCCTTCAGGCCCCACGAGGCCACCCCCACCCCGCGCCCCCGGGCCGAGTCATCCCAACCCATCGTACCACATCCCCCCCCCCCCCGTGTCCCCCACCCTCATCCCCATCATCTCTCCCCCATCCCGTCCCGCCGCAGTGCTCGGCCCGGGCCATCTCGCCCCGGCTCCCGGCGCAGCCGGCCCCGGCGTGGGCTCAGCGCCCTGCGCGGCCCACAGGGCCCGGTGCCCACCGGTGCCACCTGGTGCCGGTGCGCGGCGTGGGGGGGCCCGAGGCCACCGCCCCTGGGCTCTGCGCCGGCGGCAGCACCCGGAACAGCCCCGCTCCCCCGGGGGCCGCCCCACGCACCCTCCGCCCCAGCCCGGGCACTGCAAACCCACCCGGGGTCTCCCGGCCCCGCGGTGACCCCAGCCCCCCCGCCCCCTGGCCTTGCCCGTTTGCGGGTGCCCCTCCAGGGTGGGGTGCTGGGGCCTGGCTGGCAGAGAGAGGGGCGGGGGGGCTGGTTGGGGTGGGGACATCCCTTGCTGCCCCTGGGGTGCTGTTCACCCCTCACCTGGATGCCAGCACTGGGGGTACCCTCCTGGGCTGGGCTGGGAGTGCTCCTGCCCCTGGCAGGATGAGCCCCTCCAGGGGTGCCAGCAGGGCAGGGGGTGCTGGGGCACCCCGGGGGGGCTGTGGCCATGCAGCCTTGTGTGCAGGAAGCCGGGGGGGGGGGCTCAGGGCAGGGGAATATGGGGGGGTGCCAGGGGCACACAGGCTGGGAGGCACAGGGCTGCGTGGGTCAGGGCAGTGGGGAGCACAGGGGATGTGAGGAGGGGCGGGGGGGGGGGGGCAATGCCAGAGGGGCACTGTGCATGCTGGGGAGGTGGCACAGAAGGGCGTCTATTTGCCACACACAGGGCAGGGTCCGGGGCGGACAGTGGGCGCCCCCCCCCCCCCCGCGGGACGCGCAGGCCTGTGCGCAGCGCGGGGCCCGCACCCGCAGCAGGACGCCAGCGGTGCCCCCAGCACCGTCCGCACCGGCACGGCAGCCGCAGATGCCGCCTGAGGCTGTTTCCAGCTGCAGGCACCGCTGCTGAGCCTGGGGCAGTGCCTGCCGGCAGGCTGGCAGGGAGCTCGGTGCGGCGCGGCGCAGGCTGCCTGCGGGGTGCTGCGGCAGCGGCAGCAGCAGCATGCTCGGCACGCTGCGTGTGTGGGCAGCGCAGCCGGTGCGGGGAGCCCCGGCAGCGTGCAGGCAGGCAGCGCTCGGGGCGGGCAGCGCGCGTGGGGCAGGGCGCTGGCAGCGTGCTCCACGCAGCGCGAAGGCGGCGTGCCGGCCGGGCACGGCGCGCTGGCAGCGTGCAGGCAGTGACGGGGCAAGGGGGCAGGCTGGGGGGGGTCAGCGCCCTGGCAGGGGTCAGTGTGCAGCGATGGGGTGGGGGGACAGGCTGCGGACAGCACCCTGGCAAAGCCCTCGAGGCCGAGCGCGCAGGCAGCACCCTCGCCGTGGGCCCGGGGCGGGCAGGGGGGTGGCAGCAGACAGGCAGGGTGCTGCAGCGCAGCAGGCACCGGCAGGGCACTGCACAGCCCCACTGCACAGCCCGCACGTGCTGCATGCAGGCAGTGACCCAGTTCCTGGCAGCCCCGGGGTTTCTCCTGGCCCCCAGCATCCTCACGCCGCTCCCGCAGGCCGGGGCAGCCGGAGGCCAGGCGCTCCTGGGCAGCACGGCAGGAGCAGTGTGCTGGGTGGCGGGGGGCGCCGGGCGGGGAGTGAGGGCACCCCCCGGCTGCAGGCAGGGCCCCACGGGCAGCGATAGCTACGGGGCTGGGCGCTGAGCGGGGTGGAGGCTCCAGGCTCCACAGCGTTGCCAAACCAAGTTGTGGGGGGGGGTCCTGTGGGCTGTCACAGGAAGGTGGGGGGGGGGTCCCACTGGGTCCCCCTTGGCAACACTGCAGGTGCGCCAGAGGGGAGCTGCTGTGCCAGGGACAGGCTAAGCAGGGGTGTCCCTGTGTCCTGCCCAGCAGCAGGGGTGCGGGGGGGCTCTGCAGCAAACCAGCTGGGCCCTCCCTGGGGCAAGGATGTGGGCACAGGGCTGGCAGTGCCCCTTGGGCCGTGTGCCCCTGGGGGGTGGCTCCTGTGCAGGGAGCTCGGTGGACATCAGCAGCTCTGGAAGCACTGCCAGCCGGTGTCAGCATCCCCAGGGTGACACAGCCTGGAGACCTCAGGCAGGGAGACCGGTGCCTGCCGAGAGTGAGCAGGGCTGGGGGGAGGAGGAGGAGGGCAGAAACAGGGCACCCAGTGCCCACTGGCTGGGGGGTAGGAGAGCAGAGGGGGATGCAAAATCCTCTCCCTGTGGAGGGGACCCGGTGTCAGGGATGGGTGGGGTGTGGGAGCACGGCAGCACCGGGCACCGGCAGTGTTGGTGGGGCCGTCCCGCTCTGCCCCCGCGATGGGCGGAAGATGCCCACGGCCCTGCAGGCTCGCGGCTCTCCCTGCGGTGCTGCAAAGCCCCGGCTTCCTCAGCCCCTTGCAGTGCCACCGCCCCGGCAGCCCCCCCATGCAACCACGCCGTCCTCACAGAAGAGGAATAATTTGGAGAAACCATGGCAACCCCGGGCAGCGCTGGGGATGCCAGCACTGCACCATCCCCAGGTCCCCCCGCCGCCACAACCTCACACGGCTCTGCGGGCAGCGGGGCACTGCTGGGGGGGGGGGGGTGGGCCAGTGCCCGTGGGATGCTGTCCTCCCACCCCCGGGGCACAGGGGTGCGCACGGTGACCTCCCTGGGCTACAGTTCGGTTTGGCTCAGCAGGGCTGTGGCTGCAGGGGTCTCTCGGGGTGCTCAGTGTCCCCCCAGGGTAGCCCATGGCCCTGGCAGCTGCCCCTCTTCCATGGCCGGGGGTTTGCCGGGACCCTCACATGCCTCTTTTATTTTGCAGTGCTGGGATGGAGCTGCCACAGGGCCCTTGGCCAGCTCAGCCCACCCATCCCCTCGCTGCTTCCACTGGACCAGGTAGGATCCTGTCCACCAGCTGCCCTGACACCATGAGGATGGGCTTCCCAACGCCACTGTTGGCACCACTGCAGTGTGGGGTGCTGCCTTCCCAGATCCAATCCAGCTCTCAAGCATGATAATAATAATATAATAATGTAGCAGGGCCAACGCTGAGCCACTGCTCCAGGGCCAAACCTGCTCCCCCAGCCCTGGAGGCACCGGGATCCCCATCTCTTCCTGGCATCAAGCCCTCCCCAGCCCACCCCAGGGACAGACGCACCAACCTCACTGGCTTCACCTCAGCTCCAGCATCTGTCCCCCCCAGCTTCGGGGTGAGACAGGGCTTTATCCGGGTAATGAGGGGGGACACAAGCTCCCCTCCACATCTCTGCATAGTCAATATTGCTTCCTGCCAAATAAAGTCTATTCCTTTCCTCCCAGAAATACCTTCCCTGTAGTCCTCTGCTGCTGTTTAAAGCCAAATGCCTTTGGCTGGCCTTTGCCATGCACCTTTACTGTACTGTGGAGCAGCTGGCATCCACCTGCACTCCCAGGACCCTTGGCCAGGTGGCCAAAAAACCAAACCCTTGTAGGATATGATGAGTGTTAAAGCTGGCCAGGCATCCCTGCCATGGGCACGTACAACCGTACACCCACTCGGAGCTGGTGGCAGCCTGCAGCCGGCTCACAGTGAGCTGCTGGTGAAGATCAGTGTCTCAACCCACCAGGCCGTGTGGGCAAACCACCTTGTCTGCTCCCCCCAGTTGCTCGGGGAGGCTTGTGCTGGTGTTCCCCCCTTGTCACACAGCTGTGTTATGCACATGGCTGGGGACTCTGCTCACCCTGGCCACTGTGCAGCACCATCCCAGAGCAGGTAAGGTGCGTGGTGCTGGTGCCCAGTGGGTGCCAGACCCCCATGTCCCATGGGAGCTGCAGCCACCATCCCACTTGCTCTTCAGCCCGGGAGATGTATCCCAGTTGCAGGATGCAGGAAAGGACAAAAGCGGTGGGTGCTGGGCCAACCCAGACCCTCCAGCGCGGGGTTATCGCAGAGGGACCCTGGGTCTGTCCTGCTCAGAGATGTGGGAAGCGGCACAGGAGTCACTGCTGGCCTGTGGGGCTGAGGCACCGGCCATGGCACCCGTCTACCAGTCCCCAGGGCTGCCCGCGCTGGTCCGGCCCTGATCCGAGGAGTGATGCAGCTGCAAGCAGCCAGGACTGTTGGCACCCCACAGGGATGTTCATGGGCCACCGTGGGTGCAGCCATCACGGGCAGAGGGTACGACTCCAGCCCCGCTGGACCCCCAGCGCCGTGTGGATTTCCCGGTTGCCATGGGGGGTGCTCGTGGTCCCCATCCCTGAGCGAGTCTTCTGCCCGAGCTGCCTGCGACGCTGGTGCTGGGCACAGTGTGGGTGCAGGAGACCCCGCAGCCACTCAGCTGCTCACTGCAGGAGGCCGGGCACACCTTCCCCATCCACTGTGGAAAACCCTGGTGTCCCCCCCAGCCCCATTCAGAGCTGCCATTCCCTGTGATGCAGCAAGAGGGTCCCGGTGTCCTGCATCCCAGGAACAGGGGCTCAGCAGTCGGAGGCCTCCTCTCCCTGCAGCGAGCTGGCACCCCTCCCCAGCTGCCCCATGGTGCCCGGAGCACCCACAGGTGCCCTGCCATCTGCTCTGTTACTTGCACCCTGGATTTGGAGCTTCTTCCCCCAGTTGGGACTTGACTATTAGCAGCAGCAGCAGAGGCTGGGACTCCCCTGGACCCTCATTTCTGAAGAAGTGCCCAAACCCCCCTGCCCTGCCCTGAGCCAGGAGCTGTGGGGATTTATCCAGTGCCATCACGGGGCCCCGAGGTCCCTGCCACGATTTAGTCGCCTTCGTCTGTTCTCTTGCAGGGCTGGCTGCCTTCCTCTGAGGCCGTCTGAAGGGGAGCTGGCAGGAGAAGAGTCGCTTTTAAGATGACACGAACAGACCCACCTGACATCCTGGTGTCTACGGTGTACCAAGACATAAAGGTGGCCACCGCAGCCCCCAGGGATTCGATTGTCTGCCAGCCCCTGGCACAATGTGATGCCTCCATGTCCTCATCCCTGCCCCGCGAGCCACAGCCCTTCAATAAGCGCCACTGCAGGAGCTTTGACTTCCTGGAGTCGCTGGACGAGCAGCTGGGCACCCCCCCAGCCATGGAGCGGCCCTGCCCGCGCCCCGGCACCCCCGAGCCCGCGCCGGGGCCGCCGGGCAGACGGATGCCACCGAAGACGGACCCTTACGCTGGCAGAGCCCCCGCGCCGAGGAGCGAGCCGAAGCGACGCGCCCGCTCTAAGAGCGCGCCTCGGGTGAAGTCCACCTTCACCCCCGTGCCCATCACCGTCTCAGCATCGCCGCCACCGGCCCGGCGTGGGCGCGAGGCCTTGCGGGTGGCGCGGGAGCCCTCCCGCCCCGAGCCCTCCCCGCGCCGTGAGAGCCAGGCTCCCCTGCGCGCCCTGGCCAACGAGGTGCACCCCATCAAGCTGCAGCCGCAGCGCAGCAGCGTCAGCCGCATCTCCCCGCTCTGCCTGGGCAGCAACTGCTTCGAGGAGGGGCTGGGCCCCAAGGTGGGCGCCAGCCCCCACGTCAAGTGCCGGGTGGACATCAAGCCGGACGAGGCGGTGCTGGTGCACGCGTCGCGCAGCCTGCGAGCGGCCCAGAGCCGGCAGGAACCACCGCGCTGGCCCCGCACACCCGCGGCCGCCCGCAGCCTGGCAGTGCCGGGGAGCAGGCAGGCATCCACGTCCCGCACACCCACCCCCAGCGACTCCTACAGCGGGGACCCCCCGCTCCTGCCCTACCCCGGCGAGTACTATGAGGCAGACCCCCGGGCGCTGGCGTACCAGACGGTGCCAGTGCCAGCCTCGCGGGACTTCAGGGAGTACCCCGACAGGGGCTGCATGACCTTCTCAGCCCCCAGCGTCCCTGCCAAATTCTTCTACGCAGAGGAGCCGGCGCGGTGCCCCAGCCCTGCCATGCCCCTCCGCAGCTCTGGCTACGCCAGCTACCCCTACCCTGGCCGCCACGCCGTCCCCCAGCACTTTTACACCGAGGATCCGGCCAAAGCCGCCATCCACACGGTGCCACCCCGGACGTTGTACGTGGAGGAGGCGCGGGGCTACCCTGTCCAGGAGGCGCCTGCCCGTGCCTTCTACGGGGACGAGCCCCGCTTTTACGCCCCCCGCAGCACCCCTGTCAAAACCCTCTACGCCGAGGATGCCCGGACGTACCCGGCCCTCGGCTCCTCTGCCCGGGTCTTCTATGCTGAGGACTACGGGAAGTACCGGGAGCGGGAGGTGCTGTCGCGGACGTGCCCCCCGCCCCGCAGCACCCAGCCCTTGCACTTCGGCGACTGGTACTGCCCCGAGCGGGCCACGCTGCCCTACCAGACCTTGCAAGTGTCTCGCTTCAACCCGCAGCCAGCTGGGCGTGAGGCCATGGTCTCCTCCTGGCATGCCAGCTATGGTGTAACCCCTCCGCGACTGGGTCGGGAGAGCCAGCACTACTCCAAATCCTGGGATAACATCCTGGCGCCGGCGGCACGCAGGGAGGAGGTCCTGCAGCGCGGGCGCAGCTACGAGAACCTGCTCGCCCAGGAGCAGCACCGTGCCTTATCCCCCGAGGAGCGCCGGCAGCCGGTGGTGATCAACCTGTCGAGCTCGCCCAAGCGCTACGCCGCCCTGTCCCTCTCGGAGAGCTCCATCCTTGAGAGGGTGCACGCGGACGGTGGCCGCGGCCCCCCGGGCCGCTCCTGGTACGTCACACCGGAGATCACCATCACCGACAATGACATCCGCACCGACGGACTGGGCAGGAGTGAGAGGCGCTCGGCCAGCTGGGATGTGCTGGACGCGGGGCGGGAGCGTGGTCCCTACGCTGTGCCCTGCGGCCCACAGCCCGTCCCCAGGGAGGGCGGCTCAGGGCGCCAGCGCAGCCTGGAGCAGCTGGATGAGCTCATCACCGACCTCGTCATCGACTACAAGCCGGCACCAGGCCACCGCGCCGGGGACAGGGACAGCCTGGCTGAGCAGCTCAAGCAGCTTCTGAGCACCAATGCCCCAGGGCCCCCCCGGCGGGGCGAGAGCAGGAGGGGCGCCCCCGGCGTGCCCGAGGGACCCCGACCCACAAAGGAGCAGCCGGGTCCCAGCTCCCGGGCCAGCGCCCCACGCCCCCCTCCTGCCTCACTCTCCGTTGGCCCCTTCGAGAAGTCGCCCGAGAACTGCTCGCCCGACCTGAGCGCAGAGGAGGACGACATGATGATGTGCTCCAACGCCAAGTGCCGGCGGACGGAGACCATGTTCAACGCCTGCCTCTACTTCAAGTCGTGCCACAGCTGCTACACCTACTACTGCTCCCGGCACTGCCGCCGCGAGGACTGGGACACGCACAAGGAGAGCTGTGTCTACGGGCGTGTGGGCAGCGTCTGCCGCCACGTCCTGCAGTTCTGCCGGGAGAACGCCGAGGTGCACAAAGCCTTCTCGCGCATCGCCAAGGTGGGCTACCTCTCCCGCGGCCGTGGCGTCCTCTTCCTGGGCTTCCCCAATGCCGGCTCGGCAGAGAACTTCCTCCAATTCGGGCTGGAGAGCCTGCTGATGTCCCCCACCTACCTGTCCCTGAGGGAGCTGGAGAGCTACTCGGACAACCTGGGGGAGTACGCCCAGGAGCTGCGGGAGACGGGCAACCAGTACGACCCCGACGAATGTTTCCTCCTGAATGTAACCGTGGCCGTCACTCAAAAAGTGCCGGAGAGGCCATCGCCGAAGATGCAGGTGCCGACGGTCAGGAAATACGCCAAGGTGGCCTTAGCCTCCTCCAGCCCCGAGAAGAAGATCCTGAAGAAGGAGCGGGACATGGAGACGTTGATCCTGACGCCCCCGCCAGGAACAGCGGACATCGACAAGGAGGGGGAGGAGGGCCGCAAGGCGCGGGAGGTCTGCTTCATCAATATCCAGCGGGAGCTGCGCATCCGCGGCGTCTTCCTGCGGCACGAGTTCCCCAGCGTCTACGAGCAGCTCTGCGACTTCGTGGAGAGCAACAAGCGCTTCACCCCCACCACCATCTACCCCATCGACAAGAGGACAGGCAAACAGTTCATGTGCATGATCATGGCAGCCTCCGAGCCCCGCACCCTCGACTGGGTGGCCAGCCCCAACCTCCTGGATGATATCATGTGAATGTGGAGCTGGGACCCCCCCCCCCCCCGCCCCGGAACACCCCTCTTTGTAGATAGGTGTTGCCCTCTCAGCACAGTGGGACAGGGACCCCCTCTCAGATGCAGCACCAGAGGAGGCGGCTGCGATGGGCTGCAGGCAGCCGGCGCTGGCCGGGGGCAGGGGGGGGGCACAGCCAAAGTGGCGGGGGGGCCGGGCTGGGGAAGGCCATGGGGTAGTGGGAACATGGGCCGAGGGTTGCCGTGGGGCACAGGTCCCAGCCAGCATCCTGTCAAGACCCCACAGATCCCCTCTCAGGGTGAGTGGTGCTTGGCCGGAGCGGGGGCACCCCAGGCATCCCCCCCCCCCCCCCCCCCCCCCCAGTCTCTGCCCACGGGGCAGCTCGGCTGCCGCACCCCGAGCCTCCCGTGCCCGCCCACGCACCCTGCCTGCTCCCAGGGCCCTGCCCGGCTGTGCCCCGGGGGGCCCGTGGAACGCCGCACCAGTGGGCCCGCGTGATTTGCGGGTGGGCGCCGGGCTGCACAAGGTCTCTGTTCCTGTAGTGTCTCCGTGTCCTGAGCATGTTACTGTGTGATCTTTAGGTGCAGCGGGGACCCTGTAAGGCACCCTCGGGTGCCCCCCAGGACCCCATGAAGTCTCTGGGTGCGGGTGTGGTCCCTGCATGCTGTGTGTGTGGGGGGGTCCCTGGGTGTTGACACGGGTGCAGGGTCGCACCCAGTGACGGGTGCTGGCCCAGTGGGGGGGGTGGTGGGCAGTGCTGGTGCCACCGGGCAGCATTTCCACGGGCTGGGGGGGGGGGGGGGTGGGGTGGGGCACGGCGTGGCGGAGGTGGCTGTGCGCTGCGGGGCGGTACGCGGGGGGGGGGGGGGGGGGGCTAACGGTGTCAGAGGGGGAGTGGCGAGAGGCGGGGACCGGCCGCGGGAGGGGGGAGGGAGGTTGCACCGTTGCAAAAACAACGGCTGTCACCGCGCCGGCGCTCCGCCCCCCGACCCCGCTCCCCCCCGGCCCCGCCCGCTGCCAGCCCACCGGCCTGCAGGCGGGGTGCCCGCGGCCCGGCCCCACAGACGGGCTCCCACCGGGGCGAGGCGGCGGGAGAAACCCCCCCCGTGCGTGTCCCGTGGGCCCCCCCCCACCCCCCGCGCCAGGCCAAGCCCCGCCCCCTGCCTGTGGGCGGGGACCCGAGGGCGTGGCCGCGCGGCCGCCGCGCGCTGGTTGGCCGCTGGGGGCGGAAGGGGCGTGGCGCGGCGGCGGGGCGGGCGCGATGGCGGCGGCGGGCGCGGCGCTGGCGCGGGTGCCGGACGTGGAGATCGACGGCGGCGGCGTCTTCAAGTACGTGCTGGTGCGCGTGCGCGCGGCCGGCGGGCGCGGGAAGGACGTCGTGCGCGGCCACGGCTGGGCTGAGTACCACGGTGAGGGGCGCGGGGCGCCGGCACCGCCGGCCGGGAGAGGTGGGGTGGGGGGGGCTCAGGCGGCGGGTCCCAGTGGCCGCCCCCCCCCCCCCCCCCGACTCGTATTCATCTGCCTCCCCCCGCGTGTCCCGCCCCACGGCTCCCCCTCCCCACGCAGCCGACCTCTACGAGCGGATGGCGGAGGAGCTGGCGCAGCAGGGCCTGGGCTGCGAGTGCCTGGGGGGCGGCCGCCTCTCTCACCGCCCCCAGGAGAGGAAGATCCACGTCTACGGGTACTCGGTGGTAAGCGGGGGAACAGCGCGGGTGGGGCGGGGCGGGGCGGGGGGGGACGCCCACCCGTGGACTCGGCTTCTCGCAGTGGCGAGTGGGTCGCGCGGGTCCCGCTGCGAGCCGGTAGCGTGCAAGCTGGGGAGCGGGCGGAGGGGGGGCCGGGGGTGCCCGCGCCCCAAGGGGGACACGGGTGATACTGGCGCGGGTTTCTCCAGCTCTGGGGTGGCGCCACCCCCCTGCCCCGCCGCGGCGGGAGCCGGGTGGAGCTGCCGGTGCTCGCCGCCGCTGCCGCGGGGGGCCCGGAGCTGGTCAGCGCCCCGCGGGCACCGGCTCAGCGGCGTCCTGGGCTGTGCTGCCCGAGCCCCTGCTCGCCCTGAGCTGCCCCGTACGCCCGCCGAGCTCTCCCCTGGGCGGTAACCGCGCTGACTCCGCGGCGGGACCCTCTCTCTTCTCTCAGGGCTTTGGGCGAGCAGACCACTCCGTGACCACCGAGAAGCTGAAAGCCAAATATCCAGACTACGAGATCACCTGGGCGGACGAAGGCTACTGACCGGCTGTGGCCGGGCAGCGGCACCAGCCTGGAGCTGGTGCAGCCGCCTCCAGCGTCGGGGCGGTGGCAGCGGGCTCCCCGTGCTCGGCAGTGCTCCAGCCTCTCCTGGTTTTCCTTTGTGTTGAATTCACCCATTCTCCACTGTCACCAGACCTCCCACCCGCCGTGGGTGCTCTCCCCCCAGCACGGCGTGGTAAAGCCTCGGTGAAGCCAGCGGGTGCTCTGACCCGGCCTCCCTGGTGGCGAGGGGGTTTGTCCCACATGTGTATGTGAGAATTAAACACGTTGGGGAGTGCAGTTGCTCGCGTGGTCACACGTTCACTGCTCGGCCTGCTCGTTCCTTTCCCTGGGTCTGGGTTGTACCCACTCATGGCAGGAGTGACCCCCCTGGGTTTCCAGCCCCTTGTAGGGGCTTGACCCCAGACCTGCTGGGTGGGGACAGCAGAAGGCGTGTCAGGATCAGCCTCGGGAAGGGCTGAGGCAGGGGAGGAGAAAGCGATGGGTCCCCATGGCTGGTGGAGGGAAGGGCAGGGTGGTCCTGGGGGAAGGACCACCCTCATCTTCTGCTGGGAGGGAGCTGAGCTGCCCAGGAGTGTGGCGTGGAAGAACCTGCCCGTTCCTACCCCAGCAGGTCGTCACACCTTGAGGTAGAGCATCCTCCTTAATTTAGCCCTCCAGCCAGGACTGGCTCCTGTCCCTCAGTATTTCCCAGGGAGACTGATTGCACTTCCAGTGGGGAGCAAGATGGGGAGACTGGGAAAAGCTGCTGGAGCTTTGGAGAGCTCAGGGGAGATGTGCAGGTCATGTTGGCCAGGTGGATTGCTCAGTCACCGTCCCATACAAGGTTGGGGCTGGAGGAACCTCACCACCCCCTGGTCCCAGCCCTGTTTCACTTGTCAGACTGTGATCCTGTCCTTGCCTTGAAGCTCAGTCCCTGTGCCCCATCTCCTGCCCCAAACTCAAAAGGTAGATCATGATGGATGGGGATGAGATTCCTGGGCTAGGCTAGGGGTGCAGTGCCCATTGCCCAGCCAGTGGCTTGGGGCTGTAGCTTTGTCTCCAAAATTCAGGTGTGTACTGAACGCCGGGGGCTGTAAGTGCATTGCATTGGTTGCATGGAGGAGCATAGCTTCCCTTTGAGATACCAAATCGCAGAGCTTGGGGGCACCCCTGGAGATGTCATCCACCGCCCCCCCCGCCCCAGCAGGGCTGGCACCCGCATGTTGCTTGGGGCTGTGGCCAAGTGGGTTTTGGGCATCTTCACAGATGCAGACCCCACAGCAGCTTGGGCAATCTGTTCTGGTTTTGATGACCCTCAAAGGGAAAAACGTTTTTCTTAAGATTAAGTGGCATTCCACCCTCTCACTTTGTTCTCATTGTCTCTCATCCCTTCACGCGGCACTTGCTCCTCAGAAGGGGCTGACTCCACTCCCCTCCCTCCCTCCTGTCAGGTCTTCATGCACATGGGTGACATCCTCCTGCGCCTTCTCCAGACAGCACCTCCAGCTCTGTCAGCCTCTCCTTGTAGGAAGCCCAGTCCCTTTGTCACTGTCACAGCCCGTAGCTAGATCTGCTTCAGTATGCCCGCATCTCTCTCACCCTGGGGGGCCAGCACCTCTCTGTGTCTCCCCAGTGCAGAGGGGAGGGATCAGACCTGCTGAAGATGCTCTGCCTGTGGCACCCGGGCAGCTGGTGGCTGCTTTGCCAGAGGTCGTGGCGCTGGCTCATGGTCAGCGTGGTGCCTGCCAGGTTTCCAGGCAGCAGAGCTCCTGCAGACAGCCACTGCCAGCCCCACGGTCCCCCGGCTGGGAGGGTGCAGGGTTGCTGGTCTGTGCCTGTCCCAGCTCATGCTGAAGGAAGTAGCTGAACCCTGCGTTTCACTGCACTTGACGCAATCACACTGCAGCCTGCTGTCCAAGGCCATCAGCTAGGAAGGGAGAAGCCGCCCTACTCAGCCTTCAGCAATGGGGGCCCGTATCCCGGCGCAGGGGCTGCTGGCAGTGAGGGCAGGAGGGCTCCTCTGGGGCAGTGCCAGCCCCCCGAGCCCCGGCAGCAGCTTCCTCTGTCCACATGGGGAAACTGAGGCAGGGCCAATGGTTGTCATCACCAGGCAGCTCTGGTGGCATTGTGGGGGGCTTTGGCTGCTGAGCCACACTCCTTCCAGGCAGAACAGCCCTTCCTGGGGCTCTGCTGGGATTGTTCTGCTCGGGGAGTGACCTGGTTGTGGCCCTAGAGCTGTGCCCCTTCACGCTGTGGCACTCATGAGCTGAGTGCTGAGATGCTCCTGCCAGAGGGAGCGATGCTGGCAGGGGTGAGGACTGGCTCTGAAGGCACTTCTGGGTCCCCAGGGCCAGGGGATGCTTGATGGGGCTGGGGAAGAGGGCAAATCTCAAGAGAGGCTGCCAAGAGCCTGGGGGAGGAGCATGGCAGGGCCTGCCAGGCTCTGCGCTGGCCTGGGCGCCCTCCCAGAGCGGCTGCTGCACGGGCTGCACATGGCAGTGGGAGCACAGGGCTGCCAGGCTGCTCTGCCCACGCCGGGTGGGCTGAGACCCTGCTCCTGCCTGCCATCGGCACATCCCTGGGGACGGCCCCCGCACGTCCCTGGGGCTGGGGTCCACTGGAACCCCAGCTTTTGGCAAGGACAGCTCAGCTGTGTGCTGGCACCGGCTGCTCCTCCTGCATGCCTTGCCTGCCCCTGCCTCCTCTTCTACCCTGTCCCAAGTCCCCAGACAGTTTTGTTCTGGATTCAAAGCACCAATGTTTTTATGGTTAAACCCCACCAGTCCTAAGGATCCCTGCCTGCTGTGGCTCATCTTTGCCTGGGTGCATCATGACCCATTTATGCCTTTCCTGTCTCAGGGTTGCTCCTTGGACCCCATTCCCACTGCCCTCCAGCACAGCTGCCCTCCCTGGCCAGTATGCACCAACTGCCAGCCCATGCCTTGTGCCCAAGGGCTGTGTGCCCTGTACACAAAGGCTCTCTCACCGCTCTGTATGATCAGGGACTGTTTCTCCCTGTGGTTAGACATGATACAGCCCAGGCAGCTGGCACGGCAGGGACCCCACACCTCTGTCAGAGGTGCCAGCTTCTCCCTCAGGGCTGGCAGCATCGCTGGCTCAGCACGAAGAAGTAACCTTTTCCCTTGCTGAGCCAGTGTGTGCCACCAGACTGTGCCAGCTAGCCCCGTCCCAGTCAGAGCGGCACCGAGCACCTTCTCCTGGTTGGAAAAGGGGGGCTGAAGAAAAGGGGTTCGATGGGGAAAAACACCTGAAGATATCCTGGGGAGGCACAGCTGCCAGCTTACTGCCTGTGATGCTGGTGGCGGTGCCGGGCAGCAGGACCATGGGTGACCTGTCCCAGCCCAGCAAACCACCTCACCATAAACCCCACTGCCGGGGCTGGGGAGCTGATAACGGCGGGGCTGAAGTCCAGCGCCGGGCGACCCAGGGAGCAGATTCCAGCCCTGAGCTCACGGTGTGGCCTCCCCTGTCAGCCCTGTGCCTCTCCTGGCTCTGTTTTACCGTCGCCACAGTCTGGAGGCCAAGATGGCCAGGCAGGCAGTGCTCGCCCTCCTGCTGCTGCTGGGTGAGCTCTCTGCTGATGTGGGGGTTGTGCTGCAGGGCGGGAAGGGGCCGTGGTGCTGGCTGCTCCGCTCTGTCCCTTCCCAGCATGGGGTCTCATGGGGATCATTACTTCCCCCAACTCGGGGGGCTGCACTGCTCTGGGAGGGGTCTGGGACAGATACAGCCCAGAAAAACCCTCCTCTGGGCTCTACTGGTGAAGGTCCCAAGGCAAGCGAGCACCGGAACCAGGCTGGGTATTGCCGATGTCTTTTCTCAGTGTGGGAAGGAGAATGCCCAAGTTTTCCCATTTGCCCCAACACAGGGGCTGAGATGCGGCGCAGGGGTGTGATATACCAGGTTGGAGGGTCAGTGCCCCAGCCCCGGTGGGCTCTGGCACCCCGAGGGCAGGTGGGAGCGGGGTTGGTGGTGGCAGATGGCAAAGCGGGAGGTGTGGGAGGTGTGGGGCAATGGGGCGGTGGCAAGGGGTCCTGTCCAAGGGACAACGCTGCTGAGAGCTCAGCGCTCCCTCAGCAGGGTCCCAAACTGGGGAGCCCAAACAAATGTCACCTGCAGGCCACGTGTGCCCTCTGTCACCTGCCACAGGCACCGTGCCCAGATCATTGGGGGATTTTCAATCTCTTCCGTAGATGGGACTGTCCTTCCCAGCGGGTCCACGGTCATCAGCAGCTGCAGCAGTGTGGCCGAGCAGCTCTGCAACTTCGTCTGTGACTGCAGCAACTGCTCCGATGAGAACCAGTGTGGTGGGTGCCTGGCCCCCCTCGGCCCCTGGAGCTCCCTGGCCCCACTCCCAGGCCCCGCTCCTAGGCGAGAGCAGGCGATGGATGGAGCTGGGGGCACTGTGGGTGCAGGTCCCTGGGGTGGTTCCTGGTGCCCAGGGTGGGTGCAGGTCCCTGAGATAAGTGCAGAACCCTAGGGTGTGTGCAGGTCCTTCAGGTGGGTGCAGGTCCTTGGAGTGGGCATAGATCCCTGGGCTGGCAGCTGGTCCCTTGGGGTGGGTGCAGGTGCCCAGGCTGGACTCAGGTCCTCAGGGTGTGTGCAGGACCTCAGGGTGGGCACAAGTCCCTGGTGTGGACACAGGTCCCCTGGGTGGGCGCAGGTCCCCAGGGTGGGCGCAGGTCCCCAGGGTGGGTGCAGGGCCCCAGGGTGGACCCAGCCCTGCCCTGACAGCCATCTGCGTACTCTCAGGGTATCTGCGGGACTCTGCAGTGCTGGGCACCCCCTTTACCTGTGACTTCGAGGAAGGCGACTGTGGCTGGCAGGATGTGAGCACCTCGGCTTACAGATGGGTGCGGGGCCGGGCCAGCCTGTCCACGTGGGGCACGGGGCCCCACTCAGACCACACTGTGGGCACCAACCTGGGTAAGCAGGAGGTGCTCAGCTGGTGAGCGGGCTCCATACACCCACAGCACCACACCTCTGGGCCATGGGTGCCCCAAAACCAGGGTGCCGGGGATGGGGCAGACCCATGGTGGGGCAGGAGCGGCGCCACTTGCAGCTCCAGTGCCACCCCACAGGGCTGCAGCCCCTGCTCTGCTCTCCTCAGGGTGGTTTATGGTGACCGTGTCCCCCCCGGCAAAGACCACAGCCACAGCCTGGCTCAGGTCACCAGTGATGCGGGAAGCAGCTGCCACATGTGAGATCAGGGCCTGGTACCACCTCTCAGGAAGAGGTAAGGATGCCCTTGGTGGGCACGGCTGGGCCTCAGGGTACCAGGCACAGAGAAGTGATGATGGGGAGCAGTGGGGAGGGATAGGGCCATCTGCCCCGTGGCAGGGACAGAGCCACCAGCACCTCAAGATGGGTCCTTGCCATCCCTCTTCCATGTTCTGCAAGCAGAGCTGGTGGAACCCAAGGGTCCCGGCTCCAATCCTCAGAGCTGGTGGGGGGTCCCGATTCATCCCCGCGGGTACCCCAGGATGCCCAGTGCCAAGGGCCATGTTTTGGGGCTCCCTGCAGGGCTCAACCAGACAGAGTGGCCAGCGCTGCGGCTGGCCATGGTGTACAGGGACGAGGTGGTGGGGCTGTGGCAGAGCCCTGAGCGCGGAGGTGAGGGCTGGCACCAGCTGGTCGCCTACCCAGGCCGCATCACGGAGCAGTTCCAGGTGAGCCGGGGCAGCGCTGGGACAGGGGCACCAGCCCCATGAGCTGGGGCCAGAGGAGCCAGGTGATGCACCAGGAGCCGAGGATGCCTGGGCACCTTAGACAGATGCTCAGTTCACGCTGTCTCCCTCCTCTCGTTGGCAGCTCATCTTCTCCCTGACACAGCCGCCCATGTGTGGGACAGAGCTGGTGCTCGACGACATCGTCTTCAGGAACTGCGGCTTGCAGGGTGAGTCCCACATCTGCTGGGGTGAGATGTGAGCTGGGATCCCCAGGGGACTTGGTTTGGGCTTTGCACCCCAGGGGAGCTCTCCTGCTGCCCACTGTGTCTCAGGGGCACCTTGGTCTGGCCAGGGCATGGGGCAGGCAGTGAAAGCCTGTCCCTTGGGCAACATCAGGGGAGGATATGGGGAGAGCCCAGCGTGTGCTGGGGTCCCTGAAGGGCCAGCCATTTGCTGACGGTGTATCACCCTGCCCCAGAGCCCGGGCAGCAGGTCTGCGGGGCAGAGGAGAGCCGCTGCAGACGGGGTCCCTGCCTGGCACGGCACCGCTTCTGTGACAGCACCGACGACTGTGGGGACGGCTCAGATGAAGATGCAGCACAGTGCAGTGAGCATCCCTGCCCCCGGGGAGGGGGTCCTGCCCACTGGTCCCCCAACAACATGGATGGACTGAGGGTCTACCCTAGTGGGGCAAAGCCAGGCCATGGGGCTGGCAGGGGTCATCCCAGGACTGCCCCACAGCTGTGTAACTGGAGGGGCAAAATCACCCCAACGGTTTTGAGGAGGGGCAAAATCACCCCAAAGGTTTTGTGGAGGGGTGGCATCAGCCCAGCCCATTGCGGAGAACTCCCTGATGGGGAGAGGACTGGAACACCCTGTCCCCAGGTCACTCTGCTCTCCCTCCCTCCCTGCAGAGTCCTTCAACCTCTGTTCCTTTGAGCAAAATTTCTGCAGCTGGGAGGCAGAGGTCAGGCAGCCAACATGGGAGAGGAACACGAGCCTGAACCTGGGGACTGCATATGGCATCCCCACCCGGGACCACAGCAGTAACAGCAGGGCAGGTATGTGGCTGGGCACTGGCACCCCAGGGAAGCATCACTGGCCCCAAGGCAGACGTGCCCTCCGGCCCCTCTGGTAGCATGCACCTGGGCTTGTCTTAAGGTTGTGTTGGGAAAACACCATCTTGCACCCTCGTGCCCGGCCTGGCACCACTCAGCCCCTTTCTGGTGTCTCCTACAGGTTTTTTCCTCCATGTCAGCAGCACCTCAGCCACGAGGGCTGGCGGCGTAGCACGGCTCAGCAGTCCCACTTTCCAGGCCACCAACTCCTGCTCTGTGAGTCATGGCTGGTACTCTGCATCACAGCTTGTGTGGGCACAGCGGTGGCGGCGGGCAGGGTGCCCAACTGTGGGGACCCCCCACATGGGGCTGGGGCTGCGGCTGGCCCTTTGCTGGGCATGGGCCCTGGATTTTTGGAGATGGTTTGATGGTATCTCTGGTGCCTGTTGGGAGCTCTGAGCTCCTCCAGCACCGCTTTTCTGAACAGCCAGTGGGGTGGCAACCATGCCGTGGGGTGTGGGGGGGCTGTGTGCCCCAGTCCTGGGGCATCAGGGCTCACCCATCCCCTACCCCTGTCCCCAGCTGTTGCTGTACTGTTATCTCCATGGCTCGGCCACCAGCAGCCTCAGCATCTCCTATGTGACCAACTCCACCAAGCACTTGGTGAGGGAGAGGATGGGGGACCTGGGAAGCTGCTGGGTCCGGGAGAGAGTGGACTTCAACGTGATGGAGAGCTTCAAGGTGGGCTGGCACCATACTGGGGCAAGCTGGGCTGCCTGCGAGGCGAGGGGCACAGGACCCTGTGCCCACCCCTCCAAATCCCCTTACTAGCCCCACCCCAGCCCAGGGACCACCCCTCTAGAAAGGGAACGGGGGGGGGGGGGGGGGGGGGCTGTCTTCATCCATCCCATGTCACCTCATGCCTTCCCACCGTCCTGTCTGCTGTCCCCCACAGACACCCACACAACCCGACCCCCTCCCAGGTGGCCCAGCAGGGCACCCCAGTGGCACCCTGTTCATGGCATCCCAACAGCAGGCCATGGCTGTGTCCAGAGGCAGCACCATTCTCCCAAGCCCTTCGTGGCCCTGCCAGCCCACCTCACACCCCACTTCCAGCCGCAGCATCACCCCTGCTCCCAGTAAGCCCCTTCCTGGGGGAAGCACATGTCGGCTGACCACAGGAGCTGAGTTCCCACTGTTCTGCTGCTCCCCGGTGTCCCCCCAAGCCCAGTGCCATTGCCCAGCCCCTCCACATTGTGCCAGACCCCGTGTTGACATTGTCAGCGTGGTGCCTCCCTGCAGGTGCTGGTTGAGGGTGTGGCCGGCAGCACGGGGACCGTGGCCATCGATGACCTGATCCTGTCTCCAGGCTGCAAGCAGGAACAGGGTGAGCCAGAGGGCAGCCGTCCCGCACCCCTGCTCTGGCACAGGCAGTGGTCCCCGGGTGTCCTGTGCCTATGGCACCATCCCTAAAGCACCCACCGCGGGGTCTGCCTGGCCCTCTGCTCATCACAGTGACCATCCTGGGTGCAGCATGGCGAGCACTTGCCCTGGGGCCCACAGCCTGGGTTGCCTGGTGTCCTTGTCCTGCAGCTGTGGCACTAGATCCCCTGTGCCAAAACCTGCCTGAGCCAGGTCACACAGGCAGCTCTCACCGACCCCCTTGGTCCCCTTTCTCTGGTGGCAGCAGGCAGGGTAAGGCAGGGATGGGGAAATGGAGAGCCGAGGAGATGCTCAGGGGCAGGGGCCCGCAACCTGAAGAGGTGATAGTGCTGAGCCCTCTCACCGCCGCTCTCCATCCTGAGGTGTTTCACCTTCAGAGAAGCCTTTGAGCGCACTGCCGAGCCAGGCGGCTGCCGGCCCCTGTGCAGCCGAGGAGGTGGCCTGCAACAGCGGGGGCTGCATCAGCGCGGAGCTGGCCTGTGACTTTGCTGAGACCTGTGCCGATGGCTCCGACGAGAAGCGCTGCGGTGAGAGCCACGGGCGGGCACCAGGCACCCTGGTAGCCAGGCAGCGGGGGGGACACAGGCACCCCTTGCCTGGCACGGCCAGGGGACATGGGTGCCCGTGCAGCCCCTGGGAAGCGTGTGGTGGCCCAGCAAGGCTGAGTCTGGGCTTTCACAGGAGCAACCACCTTCGAGGAGGGGAATGGGGGCTGGCATGATGTCAGTGTGGGGCGGCTGCGCTGGGGTGTGCAGAAGGCCACTGGGCTCGTGGACACTGTCCTCACAGGTGAGGTTGTTCCCACTGCCAAGATGACATACTCTTTGGTCCCCAGCACTGCGGGGGCTTCCAGGGTGCAGGGACTCCCTGCTGCCGCCTGGCCAGGGGTGCCACCCCTGGGCTGCTGGGGGTGATGCCCAGGCAGGGCATTAGGCTGGAAGTGCTACAGGGGATGTGGAGCCCCTGCTCTGACCTCTCAAGGTGTTTCCGTGCCCAGGGGCTTTCCTGGCCCTCCAGGCAGGAGAAGGACAAGTGGTGGCAGCTGCGAAGGCACGCACGCCTCTGCTGGGCCCCTCCGGCCCCTCCTGTGCCATGGAGATGAGCTACCACATCCACAGTGGGCCCCAAGGTAACTCCCACGCCTGGCCCCACAGTGCCCTGCCTGCTCCCTGTCCCGCCCCCCACTCACCCCTGGGGTGCCCTGCCTGCTCCTTACCTCACCCTGGCACAGGGCAGAGCCCCCCACGCCTGCCTGCCTGCCTTTGCTGCCCCAGCCAGCCCCACTCTGCCCCATCACACTGTCCTGGAGCTGGGGTGTCCCTGCCCTGTGACCGTGAGCTGGGTGGGTGCTGTGGCCATGGGCGCTCCCAGGGGGTGCGCCGGGGACTGCCAGCACCCAGACTCTGCACGGCCTCTCGTGCCAGGCTTCCTTGCAGTCCACGTGGCAGATGACACCACTGGCACCACCCACCCGGTCTGGCACACACTGGGACGTGGTGGCACAGCCCAGGGACATGTCCACATCCCACTGGGAGAGAGGACCCGACCCTTCCAGGTGTGCCCGGGGACACAGGTCGGCTGCCTGCAGGGCAGTGCCAGCGCTGCCAGGCACCCCGGGCTCACCGCCGCCACCACACCTCCCCCAGGTCGAGCTTCTGGGACTGGTGGATCTGCAGGACTCGGCGAGTGCTGCCATCGACAATGTGACATTCGTGCAGTGCCACCCCAACGTGGTGCCACCAGGGGCCACGGGTACGGCCAAGGGCACTTGGGCAGGGAGGGCGACCTTGGACAGGAGGGGACGCCTGTCCCATCCTCAGAGATGGATGAGGCTCCCACGGGGACTGTCCGGTGTCATTCACCCTGTCCCCAACCCAGGGACAGGACCATGGTACAAAAGCCCTCGGGCCAGGGCTGAGCATTCATCCTGCCACGGGATACCTGTAAGGGGTGAACCTGGGGAGTGGGGTGGGGGAGTAGAGGGAAAGGGACATTTGGGAACCCCATTTGTTTTGGGGATGCCTTATCCCACCCCATCACCGCCATCACCTCTCTTTGGCCAGAGCTGTCCTGCAACTTTGAGAGGGGCATGTGTGGCTGGTACCAGGATCAGTCCAGTGACTTCAAATGGGTCCACGGCACGGGGCAGGGGCAGGGCTCTGACCACACCACTGGCTCAGGTAAGGGGATGGCTCCTCTCCCAGGGACCCCAGGCAGCCCAGGGCACCCCACAACCTCCTGTTCCCAGGGCCAAGATGTGCCCTGCGCTCTCTAAGCAGCCCCATGCCAGCAGGGCGAGCTCAGGCAGAGCAACCCAGGGGCACCTGGATCTGGGACCAGGGTGCGGGTGATGCGGGCACAGCCTGGAGCACCCATGTCCATGTCCCCTCCACCCTGGCTGTCCCCAACACCCAGGTTACTTCTTGGCTGCGGACCCCTCCACGCCATGGAGCCGCGGGCAGCGGGCACAGCTCATCACCTACACACAGGAGCCTGCCACCACCCCACGCTGCCTCTCCTTCTGGTACCGCCTTGCCGGCCCACAGATCGGTACGCACCCCTGTGGCATCTTCCCAGGGATGTGCCAACCGGGCTGCACTCCCCTGGGGACAGCAGGGTCCCCGAGGGGTGCAGGACAGCTTGCCGACTCCCGCCTCTATCCAGGCACCCTGAACCTCAAGCTGCGGCTGGAGGGAGCGGAGGAGACGGTGTTATGGACCCGGCGGGGGACCCAGGGCAATGTCTGGCACCGAGGACGGGCAACGCTGCCCACCACGGGCCGGAGGCGGTACCGGGTGAGGACCAGGTCCCTCCGTGCCACCAGGCACCGGCAGGGTGCAGGGCCAGCTGACGCCGCTGTCTTGGGGGCAGGTGGCCTTCGAGGCCCTGCGGGATGGGTTCCTGGGGGACGTGGCTCTGGACGACCTGGCACTGGTGGCGGGGCCCTGTGGGGCCGAGCTCTCCTGCTCCTTCGAGGTGGACGTCTGTGGGCTGGCCGCCAGCAGGCAGCACACATGGCTGCGGCAGAGCAACGGCACTGGCACGGTTGCCGGCCCTGTGGCTGACCGTACCACTGGCACAGCTGCAGGTATCATGGCCACGGCTTCCTGGGGCTCTGCGGGAGCCCTGCTGCCTGCCTCCCCTGCCCTGCCTGTCTGCTCTGTGTCCTGACTGCCCTGCCTGCCCCGAGTGCCCTGCCTGCCCCGAGTGCCCTGCCTACCCCCCCTGCCTGCCCCGAGTGCCCTGCCTGCCCTCCCTGCCTACCCCGAGTGCCCTGCCTGCCCTCCCTGCCTGCCCCGAGTGCCCTGCCTGCCCCCCCTGCCTGCCCCGAGTGCCCTGCCTGCCCCCCCTGCCTGCCCTCCCTGCCTGCCCCGAGTGCCCTGCCTGCCCCCCCTGCCTGCCCCCCCTGCCTGCCCCCCCTGCCTGCCCCGAGTGCCCTGCCTGCCCTCCCTGCCTGCCCTGAGTGCCCTGCCTGCCCTCCCTGCCTGCCCCGAGTGCCCTGCCTGCCCCCCCTGCCTACCCCGAGTGCCCTGCCTGCCCTCCCTGCCTGCCCCGAGTGCCCTGCCTACCCCCCCTGCCTGCCCCGAGTGCCCTGCCTGCCCTCCCTGCCTACCCCGAGTGCCCTGCCTACCCCCCCTGCCTGCCCCGAGTGCCCTGCCTGCCCTCCCTGCCTACCCCGAGTGCCCTGCCTATCCCCCCTGCCTGCCCCGAGTGCCCTGCCTGCCCCCCCCCGCCTACCCCGAGTGCCCTGCCTGCCCCGAGTGCCCTGCCTGTCCCGAGTGCCCTGCCTGCCCCGAGTGCCCTGCCTGCCCCGAGTGCCTTGCCTGTCCCGAGTGCCCTGCCTGCCCCCCCTGCCTGCCCCGAGTGCCCTGCCTGCCCCCCCTGCCTGCTCTGCTCAGTGCAGAGGGCATTACCCTACAGGACTCCCCAACCCTATAAAGAGTTTCCCAGCCCCAGGGGTCCCCATCCCAGGGTGGTTCCCCAGCCTGGGGGGATCCCCACCGCCAGCGGTCCCCTGGTGCACCCCTCGCAGGGCTGGGCAGGGGTCACAGCACGGGGGGCTTCTCTCCCCCAGGCCATTACATGGTGGTGAGCACGGGCAGGGGCTCCCTGCCTGCAGGGCATGTGGCTGCCCTCACCTCCCAGCCCTACCAGCCCTCCGCGCCCAGCCAGTGCCTGGCCTTCTGGTACCAGCTGAGTGCCGGGACCCCAGGTGAGCACCATGACTCCCCGTGAAGCCCCCGGGGGCACCTCCAGTTGGGTGAGGCCCAACTGCACTGCAGGGCCCTGGACCCCCCCCCTCCACGATGGGTGCCCCTGGCAGGCTCCCTCGGGGTCTTCGTGGAGCAGAGCGGGCTGCGGAGGAAGGTGATGGCTGTGAGCACCACGGAGGGGGACACGTGGCACCGCGGCCAAGTCACCGTCTGGCCAGATGGGGACTGGCAGGTGAGATGGGGCAGGGTGCTGGGGACCTCGTGCCCAGGACGGGGACAGGCTGGGGGTGATGAGGGGGACATGGGGGCTGCCAGTCTCAGCGTGCCACCCTGTGCACCCCTTCATCAGGCAATATTCGAGGCGGTGGGAGCTGGGGGCGACCATGGGTACATTGCTCTGGATGACCTGCATGTGTCAGATGGCGCCTGCCCTGAGCCAGGTGAGAGCCCACAGCGTGGGGGCACCATGGACCGGACAGGGAGGGACAGGGCACCCCAAAGGAACATGCAGCCGTGGGGTTGGGGACAGCCTGTCCCAGCCATCCCGGCTCTGCTGTGGCTGCTGGCACCTTGCTCCTACCCTGAGCTTGTCCTGGTCCAAATCTGGGGGCAGTGGAGAGGGGGCTGGGGGCTGCCAACCTCCCCCAACCCCACCCCCCACCCCCCGCAATTGCCCCATCTCCCACCAGGGAGTGGGTGCCTGCAACACTGGGTGCATCACAGCCCCCCTTCCCTCCCAGCATCCTGTGACTTTGAGCGGGACACGTGTGGCTGGAGCAGCCCCTTGGACCCCCACCTGCACAGCTTCGCCTGGGGCTGGAAGAGCGGGGTGCCCCTTGCCAAGTACCCCGGCCCCGAGCAGGATCACACCCTGGGCACAAGGAATGGTAGGAGACACCCATCCCTCCCAGGGCACACTGGCATGGCTGGAGTGAGGAAGAGGAGCTGTGGATGGATGGGGTGACCCATTAATATCTTCCCCCAGTACATCCTGGGGTTCCACAGCATCCCTGTCCCCTGCTTGCCTGAGAGAAGCTCGGTCCCAAAGGCAGTGAGGAGCAGGGCTAGGAGGGGAGTGAGGGGGGTGGCAGTGCAACCCTCCAGGCACCACTCTGAGAGTTGTGGGGGGGACAGGAGGCGTGGGGTGGGATGCAGAACTGGAGGACACCCTGTGCTCTGTCCCTGACCATCCAGGGCACTACGTGCACTTCGACACCAGTGTGCTGGGCCCGGGGGGCACCACTGCCCGGCTGGAGAGCCAGCATCTGCCTGCTGCTGCCGACTCCTGCCTGCAGTTCTGGTACCACATGGACATCCCAGAGCACCTCTGTAAGCACTGCAGGGCCAGGGCAGAGGTGCTGTCCCTGGGGAGGGTGTCAGGAGACCATGATGGGAGTGGGGGGCTCCGTCAGGGGCTGAAAACCCCCTCCCCACCCATGGGACCACGGACAGCCTGGTTGAGCTCTGGCTGGGCGGTGGGGATGGCCCGTTCCTGCTGGGTGCTGCCACCCCAGCGGAAGATGGCACGGCTGGGAGGGCCCAGTGGCTCTCGGAGGGGCTCTGGGCAGCTGTTGGTGCTGGGGCACCCATCCCCCCCCTCACATTGCAGCCTGCGGGGAGCTGCGGGTGATGCTGCACAGCACGGCAGGGCAGCGCATGGTGTGGAGCGTGGCAGGGCACCGGACCCGGGGCTGGCGGGTGGCTGCAGTGCCCGTGCGGAACCCCAGTGAGTTCCAGGTGAGCAGGGCTGCCCTGGGGTGCAGGGTGCCCTCCCCATGCACCACCCCACAAGATCCTAATTTCCCCCGCAGATCATCTTTGAGATCACCACACAGAGGTGGCCGATGGAGGGGACAGTGGCACTGGATGACATCGTGTACAGAGCCAGGGGGGGCTGCCATTCCAGCCCGGAGGTGCCAGTGCAAGGTGTGGGGCCAGTTCTGTCCACGAAAGGTCAACCCAGCGCCGCTTGGGGTGCTGGGGCAGAGGCTGGAGCCAGCTCTCCTGGGCAGAGCCTCGCAGCATCTCCTCTCCCTGCAGAGAAATCCTCCAGCAGCTTTGTGGCAGAGGTGGTGCTCGGTCTTCTCCTGGTCATCATCATCCTGGCGCTGGTGGCTGCTGGAGGCAGATACTGTCTGAAGCAGCAAGAGCTGGCAAGCAGGACACCGGCGGAGAGCAACACTCCCCAGGGCTTTGACAACATCACTTTTCGAGATGTAAGGGCAGAGGTGAAGGGCTTTCCCACTTGCCCCCAACTGTACCAAAACAGCATTTTCCTAAAAGCTCAGCAAATCCCAGCAGGCTCCCCCTGAGCCCGCACTTTGCCAACACATCAGGGAGGTGCAAAGGGCTCTGCCTCTTATCTGGTTGCTGGCAAACAAGTGACCCTGAGCTGTAGGACTGACCTAGAAATGTTGCTGCTGCCATCAGGCAGCTGCTCCAGAAAGAGCTGAGGCGGTGATCCTCCTCCCAAGAGCCCTGCAGGGATCGGGTCATGCAAACATTGCTCATCCTTTACAAGTCAGCAACTCAAACCCCTGAGAGCCAGCTTAAGCTACCGTTTGCTTCGATGGCGTTGGTGCCACATGGTCCCCAGCAGAGCCACCAGCCCCAGGACTGACCTCAGAAGAGAACATGGAGCCCCCAGGCACGCGGCAGGGTTTGGTTCCACTGCTGGGGTCACAGTGGGCCAGCTCAGGGGTTCTCTCCTCTGCAGCCTGGAAGAAGTCCTTGTATTTCAAATTAAGACACAGCCTACACTGAGTGTAACCCAATTCCTGTTCACCTTTCTTTACAGGACAAGGTCGTTATATCTCCAGTGCCAAAAGAGGGGGATGAGGATTGAAATAATAAGCTAGTGGCCGTAATTGCCTACTCACACCTGCGAGGCGTATGCGGGGCAGAGCACCCCTCCAGCAAGACCTCACACTCCAGCAGCCACCTTCGGCTCTCAGCACCTGACATCGGGGAGCTGCCACCCAGAGGGATGTGCCACTGCCTCCACTACCTCCGAGCGCTCGGGAAAAGCATTTTTGTCTTTTCTAACATCAACTTTCTGCACCAAGACACAGTGACATGCCTGTGCTTTGACAGGTGCTGCCCGCAGGAGTTTCTTGTGGCAGCCATCCTCATCTGAACTGGGTCCTGGCTGTGCAAGGGGGCGAAGCGCAGCAAAGTCCTGGTCCCCCCAGGGCTAGGCAGATCAGTGGGTGCCACGTGGGGCATGAGTTCCTTCCCACAGCCAGAATGAAGCACAAGAACTCCCAGGGAACAGAGCCCCCACGGGGAGGAAGCCCAATGCTTCTGATGGTTTTGTAGTGGAGGTTTGGGGAGGGTGGAGAGGTGGCCCAGAGGGCAGGGAGCAGAATGGGAGGCACCACACAGCACACCCCAGGGCAGAGAGCACTGCAGGACTGCCCATGCACCTTCCAAGAGCTCTTGATAATTGGCATTTAAATGGCATTGGGGAAAAAAAAAAAAATGTTCCTGAGGCTCAGGGCCTGGGTGACCCCACCTGCATCCATGCCATCCTAAAAGCCCAGGATCCCTCTCTTTCCCTCCCAGCTTTCAAAACTTAGTACTGTGCTACTGCTCAGCAGCCCATGTCCAAACCTGCCACCCAACAGCAGACAGACCAGTTCAGCCTCTGTGCGGGTGAGCAGCCCATTAAGGATCCTGCTCTCCTCAACCCCCCAAGCTCACCCAGAGGTGATCAAGGCATCCTGCTTTCCCAGTCTGTGACTGAAGTCTGTTTTGCCTCTTGTCCCGCCTCAGACAGCTCTCCCTTCAGCTCTGTCCCACTCAGGTTATGCCACAGTCATTTTGAGCACCGTCTCAACAGCTCCACCACAGCACTGTCCTAGCAGTGCCCTGTAGGAACGATCTCCCAGCAAAACTGTGCTTGGGGAGCTCGATAAGGGCAGAAGAGAGATAAGGAGGGCTCAGGCTTCATTCAAATGCCCAACTGAGTGTCTTTGCATCTGCGTTGCTCTGTGGAACTCCACAGACGCTCCACTCACAAGATAAAACCACAGTATTGATTTCATCTCTGGGCTGCAAGCCAAAGCTGCAGTCCTCACCACCAGGGAAAGAAGCAGAGCAGCCAGGAAGGCTGTGACAGCACCAGCCATTACCCCAGACACTCCAGGTAGTCCCATTAATTACACTTCCAGAAGGAAGAGGGTGCTGCAGCTCCAGTCACGCCCAAGCACAAAATTTACTACCAGCTGATAAACATGCAGCAACTACCCTGTGCAACTGAAGGGTATCAAACTTTATTATAGATCTCTTTAAAACAGGCTGGAAGGAACAAACAAAAATGTCATTGCAATGCAGTGACTGAGTCATCATTTCAAATGCAGACACTGATCAAGCCCCAACTCTCCCAAATTATTTATATATAACATATCCCCGCCCGTCCCCCCAAATTGTTCCAATTAAATGATCACATTTCAGATCATCCCAAATATCTTAACATTAGCTGCTTCTAAACACCAAGACGCACATGTTTTCTGGCAAATCAGATGTGATATTTTTTTGGGTTTAGTTCCTCAATCTCTGGAAAGGATGAAGGAAAAACAAAAATCAGGAAAATCGCTTCTTTAAGGTTGCTTTTTTTACAGCAGGTACAGATTCGGCAGATTTCCCCCCCAAAGCAAGTCTGAAACCCTCTTGTTCAGCTTGGCAATACGAAGAGAGATTCTGGCGGTTAAGGAGAACCAGCCAGATGAGATCAGTCTGAACAAACTGATTTCGAGGCTTTGTTGTCATTTCCCTTTGGGGCCAGTTTCCAGCGGTTTTCCAATATCCTTCCCACGCAGCTTAAGGCCTGGAAAAAGAGAAAGGAGACGACCACCATCAGCTGCCATCAGCACTTGATCATTCACCCAATAACTTAATTTCCTCAAATTTTTTCTATAAGGAGAGAACATCCACAAAAGAGGGCAGGGGAACCAGAGTTAGGGAGAATCCTATTTTAGCTTCTAGGAGCACCAGACTTGTTTCAGACAAAGCTCCAATTCTTGCTCATGCACTGACCATCTTCCTAGAAAATGGTATCTGCCGAACTGGCCTAGCAGAGTAACATCAACATCAGTGGCTGCAAGATACCTTCCCAAGTATAACCAGGCCTTCAGGGGTCTCAGTATCTCATTGATTTTGGGGAGACAGCATCCAGGGGTGTTCCCCAGGGCACGGCCCCACACATGAAAAACAAAGGAGAACGAGAGCTTTGAGTTCTGGTTTCAGTCAGCAGATCCAAGTTTTATCAGAGCAGGGCTTAATGATACCACACCCACAATAACCTACAGCCAGCAACTGTTCCTGGTGTGGAAAACGTAACTAACTTAAACAAAATCCTTCCTGTGCACTGAAAACATTGCCACTGTTTTATAAGTCTCCTTTCTTAACTTACCAATGGCTCTTTCGATCTTGCCCATAACCTGGTTATTGGGGATTGCTCTTCCTGATTCATAGTCAGCAATAACTTGTGGTTTTTCATTGATTTTCTAAAAAGAGAAGACATGTCTCAAATGCTAGCTCCATAAACAGCAAACACTCAACACCAACCCCCCAAAACCCATGCAGATAAGTAACAACCTCTAATTATGCCAGGACTGGAAAACAAAGTGCTAATTCCAGACTTACTCCACCACCACTATCTCCTCCCTCCACTATTTGAGTGTCACAGCAATGGTGACACTCATGTTGGACAGACTTCTACTTCCCTCAGCCTCCCAGGAAGAGTGGTAGCACTACATATTGCTGTTCCTTAAGACAGCAGCAAGATTCTGAATGCTGCATCAGGCCCAGACGGTACAAAAAACCCCTCATGTAGGTGCTGAGTTGAGGGGAAGAGAGAGGGGGAAAAAAAAGCCTCTTACCAGCTCACCAGCCACAGCAATGCTCAGTCACGAAGCAGGTGTTCAAGAGCTGCACAGATAAACCCCTAAAACATTTCCTAGATAACTAATGTTGCCTAGAGATCACATATCAGATGTTGCATTCACCAAACTTCTTTCCCATACCATCCTACTGCAGCTGCCCATAAGGGGACAGGAAACGTGTTCACCTGTGCCTCGAAGTGCCTAAACCTGCCTCAGGAGAGCAGGAGTAGAGGCCAGCAGGCCCCGGGCCATACTTACTGTGGCCAAGTCCTTCTGTGTCATGCCCTTGCTCTGTCGGCCCTGCTGGATCACTTTGCCCACCTCCAGGGGAACTCTGTCATGGTGCAGCTCTTCTGTTTCTCGGTCGAGCTTGGCCGTGTTCTTTGTAATAAAGTGTTGTTTGTTCTGGCCTGCTGCCCCTATCATTCAAAGCAAGATCAAAAAAAAAAAAAAAAAAAAAATACAAAAAACAAGGACAAGCAGAACAAGGCTCAGAGCTGTGCCAAAAAGTATCAAAGCACTTTTTCTAAGTGCTCAGCTGCCCAGGATCCCAAGGAGCTTTCAAGATTTCAACATGCCAGCATCAGCACTGATCTCAACCAGATCCTGCCCATCACAGGACGTGTTATCTTAATCCTGTTAATGCTGATGTCTAAACACAGCCATGCATAGCCCTCCCCCTTCACATCTGAACTTCACTCAAGATAGGCAAGATCTTGCTATGGCTTGAGGATTTAATACTCAGACTCCACTCCAGACATACATGTTTGTGCCAAAGCATGTGTGTGTGGGGCGGTGTTTAATATTTGAACAGTGCTTGCTCAGGTACAAGGCAGCATGAGTAAGTGGCTTTTAATCAATTTTCTGATGCCTTCTGTAAGTAAACTCTAACTGTACTTAGCTTTGCTGAAAGCTTGAGGTTCAAAAACATGCCATTTGTTTTGTCTCGTTTTAGTTACAGTATTTAAGTCATAGTTTAGATCCTTTCTCTCACATTAGCCTCTGACATTCAGCTTCTTGATAAATCTGACTAAACCTCGTTGAAAGATCATCTGTTTATTTATTTCCAGCCATCGTAAACTCATCCCTATGGTGAGAGAACCTGATAATTTCCATCGGATGGGAAACAGGGAATTTTTAAAGAGCAACGCCACATGAAGATAAGTAGTTATTGAAATCCTTAATTATGTGTTAACAATGAGAGAAATAAGCTGCAGAAAATTGAAGTTTATGTCTGGTGATCATGAAAGCTCCCCCTCAGGCAGACACTAGCCAGAGCTCAGCTCTGGGCAACCAGAAACTCAGAGATGGCTACAGCGGAGTGCTCCCCCCTTCCCTAGGGTGCTGCCCACCCTCCCCGGGGCGCCCGGTGCTTCTCAGGTCTGCATGTGGCCGCGGTTAGGGTAACCTTTGGCCTAGCTGGGGGGTACTGCCTTCTGCCCCCGTTCCCCCCCGCCCTCAAGACCGACTCGAAAGGCCGGGCCGGGCCGGGGGGGGGGGGGGGGGGGCCGCCCGGCCCCGCTGCTGGGCCTGCCCACCCTCCGGTCCGAGGAGCCCGGACGCGGGGTACCCACACTTCTTGGAGGTCTCCACGTCCTCTCCACGCCGCTGGGCCGCCAGGATAGCCTGGGGAGAGTAAAGGTGCCGAGGTGAGCGCTCCGCCACCCGGAGCCGCCCCCTCAGCCAGGCCCCGGCCACGGGTGCGCCCAGGCCCCGGCCGCCGAGCCCACCCGCGCCAGGCCCCGCCGTGAGCCGCACGCTGACCTGCTTGGACTTGGCCTGGGCCGCGCTCGGGCCCTTCTTGCGCAGCACCGTGACCGTGTCCCAGTCGCTCTCCGCCATGGCCCCGGCACCGACCCCGCCCGCCGCCCGCGGCCGCGCCCGCCGCTGAGGGGGCACAGCCCAGCGCCCGCCCCCGGGAGGCGATAGGGCGGCGCGCACGCCCGTCAGCGAACGACGGCCTCTCAGGAGCGGGGAGAGGCGTGACGGTGGCGGGCGGAGCCTCCGGTTTTTTAACGGGCTTCGTCATAAGAGCAAACCGGGTTGGGACGCTGTTGCTCGTAATAGGCGCAGAAACATGGCAATCAGCCTTCTTGCTATGCAATTGGCTAGCACGCGCGGCAGGCGGGGGGTGGGCGGGCACGCGCCTTTGCACTCTGAGAGGTTGCTGGCACTGCCAATAACCCGGCTGCCCAGAAGGGATTGGCTCAGTCCGCGGTGCTGTCAGGTCCTCTGACCAATAGCCGCTGGCGGTTGGCGCTGGGGCGGGGCCGCAGTGGCCGCCCCCGCCCGGCCCCGCCCGCTCCCCGTGGCCGTGGCCGTGGCCGCCCGCGGACGCCCGTGGGAGGCCGCGGCCGGTCGCCGAGACCCCTCCCGGGCGGCGGCGGGCCCCGTGTGCCTCCGCGCAGGGCCAGGAGCGCACTGCGAGTTCCACGGCCCGCCTGTAACAGCGGCCACCGCACTTCGGCCACTGCGTGGGAGAATGCAGCTGGTGTCCGTGTGGCGGGAAACCCGCCCGGGGCCGCGGGTGAGAGGAAAGCTCTGCCAAAAGAAAGGCAGTGGTGTCCCTGCTCTTTCGGCCGGGAGACAGTGAAATCCTGCAACTCTGCATCTGAATCACCTGGAAAGTTCTGCAGTAAAGGCAGGAAACCCCTGACCTCTGGCTCCCGTCATTTCTGAAATAACGGGTGCGGGAGGGGGGACGGGGCTTAAAAATCCTTGGCGGTGTGTTTGCAGGCCCCCCCTCATAGCGCGGTGCAGGCGTGTCTGGTTTCCAGGTTGCGGGTGGTATGGGCATTGTTCAGAAAACGGGGCGCTGTGAGAGCGTGGGGCTTTCCCTCGGCACAGTCGGTCCGTGGCTTCTGTCGTCACAAGAAGCGTGGCCCCCGCTGCTCTGGGAAGTATGGGAGAGAGCAGTTTTGGGATGTGAAAGTGGAACGTTAATGAGGTGTGTTCCTCTGTGTGGCAAGGCTCGCTCCTCTGGCTGCATGATGGTTTATCCCGAGCAGCTCCGGCAGGTTCCCTGGCTGTGGCTGGCACGTCAGGAGAGGTGTAACTGATGGTCTCCTGCCTCTGGGAACAGCACATCCTGCCCCCGGCACTGCTGCCGGGATCACGGTTGGTTTGGGAAACAGAAAGGTGTTTTCTTCACTCAGTTACATCAACCAACCAAGAACTTTAGCCATGCGGAGGTTGCTGGACTCCTCCCAGACAAGCGCAGCTGTGCTGGGAAAAGGGGTGTTGCAGTGGAGTGAGGTGGTGCTGATGCCGGCCCAGGGGAGCTGCATCATGCCATTCCCGGTGCTGAGATGTGCAGAGGAATGCACCCCAGTTCCCACAGGAACCCCCCCGCCCCCGAGAATCACTTGCCCTGAGGGGACCCTCTCCTCTCATCAGGCGCCCGAGCAGCACACGGAGGGCCGGGTGCCTCCCCAGCCTGGTGCACAGCCAGCTCAGCCTGCGGGGCAGCAGCGGGCTGGCCTGACCCACCTCCCACGGCCGACCCGCTCCCTGCGCTCGCAACGGGGGTTACTGGAGGGACACCTGGGCCGCTCTGTCGAGGGCAGCACCAAACCGGTCACGCCTGGCTCAGACCGGGGAGGATTTCCCCTGCCGCTGGGTGAATTCCCCACACGGTGAGGAGGAGACCGTCCCTGCCCCACCAGCGTGAGGGGCACTAAAGCCCCAAAGCCCCCACGCCCCCCCCCCCCCCACCGCCTCGTCCAGAGTGCAGGGAGGGCTCCAGCAGCCCCAGGCGCATGAGACCAACTGCGGGGACTCTTGAGCAAAAAAACCTGCTGCCGTGACCTTTTGCTGGGTGAGTTCCCCTGCAAAAAGCACCTCACACTGACCTCACCGCCACGTGGTGAGCGCCTGCATTTCCCCCCAAGTAATTTTTTCTTTTTGATTAAACCAACACCCGCTTGCCGCTGCCTGTGCTTCCCAGTGCCTCTGGTGTTTCGCTTTCCCTTCGAGCAGGCACCGCGGGATGGCCATGGCACTCTGCGCGCAGGTATGTGAGCACCTGGCGTCACCCAGAGCAGCCGAAGGTGTCTGCAAAAAATTCCTCTAGGGTCTTGGGGGTCACCCCGGGCCATTTCCGAGGGACTTTGTGCAGGGCCCGGCGCTGGTGGGTGGGGGGGTTGCAGCGGGAGGGTGGCTGACCCTGCTGGTGGGTGGGGGACCAGAGTGCCCACAGGCCGAGCACTGCAGTCCTGGCGGGTCCCCCGTGGCCGGCGTGTGGGGTGCGTGGGGGGGTCCCGGGGGTGGTGTGAGGCAGGGCTATGGTGGAGGTGGTGGGTGCAGGCAGTGGGGGGGTGACAGTGGGGGTGACACGGGATGGGGGTGCTGCGGGGTGACATGGGAGGTGACGCTGTGTGTGTGGGGGGGGCGATGGGGGGGGGTGACACAGGGGTGCTGGGGGGTGATGTGGGAGGTGACGCTGTGTGTGAGGGTTATGGTGGGGGGTGACGTGGGAGGGGACGCTGTGTGTGTGGGGGGGGCGATGGTGGGGGGTGACACAGGTTAGGGGTGCTGGGGGGTGACGTGGGAGGTGACGCTGTGGGGGGGGGTGATAGAGGTGCTGAGGGGAGGGGACGCTGGGAGGTGTCCGAGGGAGAGGTGGCAGCGGGGGTGACTGGGGCCATACCCGGGGGTGTTCGGGACCGGGGGTGTCAGCGTTGGAGCGGGGATGACGGGGGGAGGTGACGGCTTGGGGGGGGGGGGGGGGGGTGGGGGGGGGAGGCGGGGCGGGGCGTGGCGGTGACGCCAGAGGCCGCTGGCCCCGCCCCGGCCCGGCGCGAGGCGGGGTGGTTGCTAGGCGCCGCGCGCGGCCGGGGCGAGGGGGGGCGCGCTACACGTGTCCGGTGGGCGGGGCTGCGCGGGCTTCCGGTGCGGGGAGCGGACGGAGGCGGCGGGTGAGTGTGGCGCTGGTCCTCCCCCTCCCCCCACCTCCCTTCCCGGTACCGGGCGGGTGGAACGGCGGGCCCGGGGGCCGGGCTGTGCTGGCGGAGCGGTCGCGGAGGCGGCGGGCGGGCCGGCCCTGCTCCGTGCGGCGGCGCCCCGGGCCTCGCTCCGCCTCGGGCCCGGCCGCGGCCAGGCCGGGGCCCACCGGCGGCATCAGCCTCCCGCCAGCGCCGCGGAGCCGGGCGGCAGGCGGCGCTCCCCGAGGGGCGCGGGCAGCCCCGGCCTCGCCCCCGGGTCACGGCGGGGCGTGGGGGCTCCGCCGCCTGCGAGGTGGTCCCGCCCGCGCGGGCGTGGCTGTCGCCGGGGCCGGCGGCGGTGTGTCATCCGCCGCCGGGGACTTCCCGAGCCCCGGGGCAGCCGGGCCGGCGCCGGACCCTGCGCCGCGCTGAACGGGCGGCGGGGGCAGGCGGTGCCCGGGCCCCCCGCCAGCCTCGCGGTGCGGTTTGCGATCCCCGGGCGCCCCACGGTCCTGAGACTGTTGAGAACTCCTTGGCGGGGAGCAGGCAGCCATGGTGCAGCTAAAAAAAAAAACTGAATTTGCGTTAAAGACCTGCTTAAATATCTGTAGTGTGGAAATAATGATGCTCGGTCCAGTTGCGTGCCAGAGCCTGCCAGCGTCGCTCCTGCCAGGCAGGCAGGGCTGCGAGCGCTCCCGAGGGAGACTTGGTTGTGCAAGGGATCTTCGTTAATGATGTCCTCGCTGTCTCTGTTCTGGGGTTGCTTTATCAGCTTTAACGACCCCGGGCACAGGCAAAAGTTGGATGTTACTGGAAACTTAAACTGTGCAGGGAGCTGAGTGAGCCTCTCTGCTTCCTTGGCTGTCCTGATTTGAAGGAAGTACCTGCGTGTGCAGCCTTACTCGGTTTAGGAGGCTGTGGAATGTAGTTGCAGGGCATGAAGGCAGGAGATGGCTTCTTTAGATCATCATAAGTGGTCAAAACAAATGGATTTGATTATTTTCTCATTATTATTTTCTCCTTTCTGGCTTGCTCGTGCCTCTCACATCTTTGTTTTCCAGCCCTTTGGAGAGCCCTGTACCCCAGCTTGGGCATTGCCAGTAAATCTGGGCTCCGTGTGTGCACAGCATCTCCCCGGGAACAGCTGGCTCCGGGCAGAATTGCAGTCCTTTTTGAGAGATGCGAACACAAGCAGTGGTAGGCTGTCATTGCCTCGCTTGGTGCCTACGGGCTTTTGGTGATCTGAGGTGATTTATTTATATTCCTGATCAGCTTCAGGATGTTTTTTTTTCCCTTGTTTTGGGCCAGAAGCCTTGATTTCTCTGAATAGGCTACTTTTCAATAAACTTGGACGGGTATTTTAGTGAGGTCTGTCCACACTCTCTCGCCGTTCTGGATTTAATTCCAAAATCAACTGTCTGTTTTCTTTCCATATTTTTAACTAGGTGGAGGCAGGCTTGTGGTTTACATCAGTGCATTTACCTGTGTTGTTGGGTTTTGGGTGGCAGCGTAATATGCTGTGAATAATGCAGTTTATGCATCCAGTCAAACAGGGAAAATATTTTCGTTTTCAGGCTCTGGAGATACAGCCAGAATTTTTCGTTCACATGGCAGCAGCAAACTCAACTCCGCCTGGCTCTTTGGATCTAAACCAGCCTGGATTTGCAAAGGAGATCCTGGGAACTAAACTGGAGGTCAAATACCTCTGCTCTGATTGCAAGAATATATTGAGGAGGCCATTTCAAGCTCAGTGCGGACATCGTTACTGTTCCTATTGTCTGAAGAAAATTATAAGGTAACTTTTGTGCCTTCAGTCTGAAGACAAAATGATTGAAAAAGCATTTTCAAGCAAAAAACGAGAGAAAAAAAATCTCATTGTCAGGACCTTCTCAGCAAGGGAGCTGTGTTTAGTCATTGAGGTTCAGCAGCATCAGGCCTTCTTTAAGGAAATGTGTAATATCTGACATGCTTTTATTGTTCTGGGTGTTGCTTCAAAGTTCCCTTTTCCAGAATCTCCCTGATTGTTTTTGCTGTTCAGGTGGCAATTCAGGTGGATCACCCACCTCTTTAAGTCTTCCTCACGGTTACTGAGGGAACTTGCTCCTAAAAGTCATTGTATGGTGGTTGTGCCAAAATGTAAGAAATTTAGGCACAAGCTGGCTTCCAGAAAAGTTTCCTTGTGTTCTGTCTCACTCTTGCCTTTAAGTGAGAGAAGTTGAATAGAGAGGTTAATCAGGAGAAGAAAAAAGTTAGAAATAGGCATGAAAAATAAATGAGCAAAGACTCAATGTCGTGTTTTAAAAATAAGAAAATGCTTTCATTTAATAAAGTTACCAGAAATCACCTAATTGTTAAATCATAAATTGGTCTTCTTTTGTTGTGTTTGATGATTATTTTTCTGTCTAATAGTGCTGGACCTCAAAAGTGTGCCAGCTGTATTCAGGAAGGAATATACGAAGAAGGAATTTCTATTTTAGAAACAAGCTCAGTAAGTAAAAATGCATTTTAAAAAATAAATAAGTTTACTGATGTCATTAATACCACTTGCAGTTTTTGTTTTAAATACAAGTTCTGAGAATTCCTGATTCTTAGGAAACGTTTTCTTCAGTAGTGAGAGTTATGATTAATGTGGTGGACTCCCCAGCTTCTAAAATCCAGGTCACATTAATATAGCGGTGGCCTACTTAATCACTGTAATAATGTTTGTTTGCCACTAGCACACTTCTGAGGATGTGATGTGGCAACTGGCCTGGAAAGAGCCTTATTAAAGTCTTAAATAATTAAAGGACTAGACTAAAACTGTAACCCCTCAGTAATTTTTGTGGTTTGCTTGTTTTTTCCACTTCAGGCTTTCCCAGACAATGCAGCTCGGCGGGAGGTGGAAAGTCTGCCTGCTGTCTGTATTAACAGTGGCTGCACTTGGAAGGGGACTATTAAAGAATACGAAGTAAGGATCAAAGCAAGGCTTTCAATATCTGCATTTTTCTTTCCTCTGTGTTTGGGGAAGGCTCAGGTGGTTTTGCTGGTTTGCTGACACTGGCAGTTGTCATGGGAGCTTTTGTCTCCCTGGACTTCACTGTAAGCTGGAGAGATTTCTTGGCTGAGCTAGGTTTGTGTGCCCTGCTGAGGCCACAGGCTGAACTGAAACAATTTCAGATTTGCTTGTGATCACAGGCACCACGAATGTCCCTTCTGTGGTGGGAATCACCCACCTGGTGGGAATCTCCAGTTCCTTTCTGCTATAAAAGACAAGTGAACTGTCAAGAAACTGTGCTGTGCCATGAAATTGTTGTGAAGTTCTCTTCATTTTTTGAACCTAAAACCTACTTCAGACCCATAAGCCTGGGGAAAGTGGTCTGGCCACAATCGGGTTTCCACCTAGCTGCCCCCATAGCTACCAGGGCAGTGGGGCTGGGCATTGGTCACTGGCTGGTCACCCAGTGCTCCGAGCTGTTCTGCGCCATGCTGAACAGGATGTTTTTTCCAGCCTTGCTCTTCTCGAGGAGCCCACCAGCTCTTTAATCCAAGCTTTCTTTTTGTGGCCCTGAGCATTTGGTCCTTAGCATGTATATGGCTAACATGCCTTCATGCAAAGCTTGTTCTTGCTGAAGGTGGCAGTGGGCCACATGCTTCCCTTTGCTTTCCAACAAGTCAACTCTGCTGTGGCAATTTCCATCATTAAAATGCATTGGCAGTTAGTAGTGAATGTATATGCACCCGTGAAGCTTTGGTGCTCCTGAAGGACAGTTTTGCCATTCCTCTTGGAATGGAAGAACCACCATGGTGGGGGTCTGAGGTAAGAGGAATAAATTTTATTTCCCTCTAACTGTCATCCTAGGTAAAGATTGTAGCCCTGTGGTTCATAGAGCTTTGGTAGTGACTGAGATGTGTGTCAGAAAAACGTGTAACATCAGTCTGTCTAGGATAATATTTAGATTTTCTTTTCAATGCTGCTGCAAGACGGCAGGAAGAAACAACAGCTGTGGATCATGCCTGAGTCTTCTGACTAGCTTGCTGAGCCTGTTAAGAGAGAGATGCTTCTGCACCTCTGCTTCTTTGTCCTGCCATCTAGAACCTTCGGCTTCCTTGTGCTAAAAGTTCAGTCTGAAAGACAAGGGGATGTAGGGTGCTAAATGGTTCTTCTGCTGTGAAACCCTCATTCATAGACCTGTAAGTGACTCATGATGTGAATGTATGATTGAATAAATGTCAAGGTAAAAGCTTAACACTGATACAGCACTAAGAGTCTGGGAGTTGCAGTTCAGAGTAGCGTGTGTTACTGAGGTTCCAGGTTTAGGCTGTGCTGTTGGTGCCTGCGGATTGTCTGGCCCACTCTTTAATTTCTTTTGGTGACCAGTGACCAGAAGTCCGATGCCCACTGCAGTGCTCAAAGTGAGGATTGTAGTAAGTGAGCTCATCTCTATTAGACTAAACCAAATTATATTTGTCATCAGCTTCCAGTGCTGTTGATTGTGCTGTGACTGATGAGCTCTTCTGAACTTTTTCTCCTGGGTTTTAAAAAAAATCTTAAAAAGTTCCTGTAGAGCTCAGCAAAAATCATCAGCTGCCAAAGGTCCTCCCTGTGCGGTATTCCAAGTGTTTGAACACAGGCTTGAGTCCAGCCAGAAGTTCAAAAGGGCAGCAAGCTGTCCTGGGATAAGTCTGTCTTCTTGCAAGGCTGCAGATGTGTGGTATACTCCAAGATCTAATGCACGACTGATTAAGAGCGTCTGAATGGATAAGGCTGTGCCTCTTTTTTTACTCTCCACCTAATCTTGAAAAAGGTCCTGTTAAGTGTTTTGCTAAAACGGACTATGTTTTGTAGAGGTGCAAGCTCCAGAGTGCTTGGGCTGCAGGTCTGCAGCACTGATCTCAACTGTCACAGTTTTTGTTAGGCTTGGGACAGTCTGGTGCGATGAAAGAGGAGCGGGGGTTTTGATCAGTGCTAGTTGGTTCATCTCAGCTTGCCTTTCCTGCCTACCACGGGAGGTATTCAGTCCAGTGGGGGTAAGGTTATTTTGTGCCCTCTCGGGAAAAGCTCATTCTTTCTTGGGAACTGTGGGAAGAAGGCAAGCTCTGGCTTGTGTTACCTCCTCTCCCAGCTGCCTGCCAAAGAGCTGTGGCATTTAATCAGGCCTGGCTGTCCTTATGTAGTTGGAGCTTAGGAGATGGTATGTGTGGCTGAGGAGCGCTGATGAGATGTGGCATCAAACCATGAGTATCTCTTGGTACTGTGTACTCGTGTTAAACCCTGCCTTCTGGGAATGCTTGTAAGTTTAGTGCCACGGAGCAGTGTTTGCCTCGTGCAGTACGGTTGCATCTGTAGCCAGCAATGTGTGTAACGTCCTGCAGCAGCTCAGTACTCCCACTATGGAAAGTCCCTCGCTGCGCTATTTCTGACAGGACATGGAAAGTCCCTAAGAGTGAATTCATTGTTTGCTAATTTAAAAATCATGTATTTGTACTGAGACTTACTCCGCTGCTATCTCCTTATAAATCAAGAGATACTGTCGCTTCTGGTTTGCTAATCTTATCAGGACATGAACAAGACAAAAAATGTTCTGTGGCTGAAAAGCTCTAGCTCTTCAACTTCAAAAAAATTAAAACTGATTTCAGTTTTGCTTTCTGTTCTTTCTCAAAGGGACATACAAAACTGAAAGAGTGTGATCTGCTTGGACATGACTTGCACTCCTGCTTAAAGCTGTATGCAGCATATGAAATATTTAAGTGCTTAGCATGTGTCTGGGTTTATAAATGCATTTTTCAGACTTTTTAAATATTATAAATATTTAGTGGCATTTGTATAAAGCAGTTTGTGGTAGGACTAGAGGGTATTTCCTTTTAATCAATAACGTTTTTTTCATGTATAGGTTTCCTGATGAATCTGCCTGTATGTACATACAGCAAAGTAGACTGTGGGCAGCAGCCTTTAGATTCAGGTGGAAAGTCTGAGGAGGGTTGCAGAAACTAAAACTAGCCTGTTAGACCAAAAGGAAACACCAAAAAAACATGTTCTGTGATATCCAGGTAGAGGGAGGTTGTGGTTCCTCAGTATTGGAGCATTTTTTTCTTGCCGATGTCTCTCATCCATTTAATCGATATATCTTCAGAGTTCACATACCTTTTATTTATTCTTTTCATACCACCAGCTCCCTTTCTTTGCCCCCAGTCAGGATTGGGATGGGAGGAGGGGGCTGCAGAGAGGTGTTCACATGGTCAGCTGTGGCATTTCCATTTGTTACACAGACAGAGGTTCATCTCAGGAAACACAGAATTATTTGAGACATAAGGAAAGGGAATTGTCTAAGTTTTGGAAGGAGAACTAAGTTTTAAGTTTAATCCTGACAGTAGTATTTAAACTAAGTTGGAAGGGGGCGTTTCTGAGAAAACAGATGAGCTCAACTAATGACAGTCACCTGTCCTCATCTGTGGTGATAACCTATCCTAATCCAACCTCAGTAATTTTCAGTAAGGGGATGTGTTTTCCTTCTAGTCGGTTGTCACAGTGGCTTTGAAGAGTTCACTTTGATTGAAGCCTGGAAGGCTGTGGAAGATGCAAAACTCAGAACTTAATTGATATTACTCCAAAGTTGATGGTGCTGGAGAGTGTGCCCACATCCCCTTCTGGGCTGTGTGGCTTCCTGGATCCAGGAGGACAAAGTAACTGGACAGTCCCTTCTTGTCTGGTGTTCCTACTGGGAGATGTTGAAGAAGCCCTGCTATACCTTGTGTAGAGAAAACTGACCTTCTTCAAAAATGCTGCTGGGTGTCCTTCTGCTTTGTGATGCTTCACTGTTTCATGCCCCCCCCCCCCCCCCCCCCCCCTTTCCAGCTGTATCCCAGCAATATCCTGGTAGTTTTTGGTGATGATTTTCAGTGTAGGCTGAAAACTTCATCTTCAGGCTTTTGCACATTGCGTAGAACAGAGCTGATGGTCTTTGAAGATACTTTAGCCGGCTCCTGTTGCCTCCAAAGTGTAGTTCTGAGCATTTTAGAGTAGTACTGCCTGCATGGGATACAGCATTTTAAGTGCTGTGGCAAGCACACTTGGTGATGCTGTAGCAGGGTGACCAGCCTTCTTCTTAAAATCCAGTACAGCATTTACTGTCTTTTTCTGAAGGTTTTGGGTCCAAGTTACAGTATAGTGTTGAAATGCAGTTTGCAGCTAGCTCTAGCCTGACCAGCAGTTTGCCACAGGACCAGATTGCTTTCTTGTGGGAGGATCTCTGACTTGCACACACAAGTGACCGAAAGGACCTCTTGCTTTGGAAAAAGGGATCTGACACACCTTCACTTTCCAGAGCTGGAGCTGAGGTCCACAAACAAAACCTGGCCTCCCTTACAGTCTCTGAAGTAGAGTTTATGTAGCTGGCTGCCCAGACATGAGGCAGTTTCTCGTCCAAGCCCATGGTGGGAGGTAAGCCACGGGGAATGCCAGAGAGCACACGTGGGAGGGGGTTGGAAAGCCCCGGCTGTAGAGGGTCTGTTCTTAGCTTCTAAAAACAGGTCAGCCTTCTTGTGGTGGCCCATCTAATTAACACTTTTGGCATCTGCTCCTTGGAAAACGAAAGCTGTAAGTCGAAAGCTTTGAAGCTGAGGTGAGTGCTGTGTGTCCCTTCTAAGCTGTGATGAAACCCCTCCATGTGAACACAGCTTTGGGGGTTGTGGGGTGGCACTCTACACTCAGGGAGATGTTCCTGGGGCTCCAGGTGTCTGGCAGGAGCCAAGGCCACGATCATACACATGCTTGGGCACTTCCAACTCTTCAGGCAGCCTAGGGAAATCATGCTTGAAAGCAAGCCACTCACCACAAGGTTGACTTCTCCCGCACGTGAAAGACACCTGTCCCAGTTGTAATATTTGTCTCATCTCCCATTTTCTGGTTCCAGTGGTATTCTCAACGTTGGACTGTAACAGCCCTTCTATTCACAGCCTGCACCTCCTTGC